TTCCCTAAGTCAATTGCGCTTTAATTTCAATTCTTTAAATAAAATTCGCATATAAATATTTGCCTATATTAACATTGCCGCTATTCACATATTTATGATTTTAATTTAAGCAGAAAGAAAGTTACATTCACAACTTGAAATACTATTTAACTCTGCCTATAAGTCGATCTCATATTCATCTTAATCTCCACCAAATATACCCAATCTTCATATAGGGTATAGAAATGCATATTGCATGTTTCAGCAGCATGCTAACACGTTTTCAAATTGTGATGTGTGATGTGAGTGTATGATTATGTGTGTATGTGTATGAATGCATATTGGAGCATGTGTTGGTGTGTTTGTCTGTGTGCGTGTGTGTGCTAGTAGGGAAATACGATGTCAGCGGCAATAATGAGAAGCTGTTCATCAGCCAGAGAATGGAGAATGTTCAGCAAAGAACTTTACATTCGATTCGCGACGCAAGAGTGAAAGAGAGAGGGGAACAAAATATGGCGAAACTGCGTCGATAAAGAGACGGTGAGTGAGGGGAGGGGGAGAGGGAAGGGAGTCTGGCACAACAGTTCGTTATAGAAGTATTCAACGGCCAACTCTAATGACATCTGATTGACATTGAGGCCACATTTCCTGTAGACGTAACTCGACATCGATAGATGAATCACACACTGCATATAGCTAGATCCTCAGCATTAAGTTTATTTACAATTTGAGCTTTAAACTCTTTGAATGTTTATAAATGCTGAAAAAGACTTTTTGATAGTGGGCTGCCTCTAAAGTCGAAGCGTCTAATGGCATTTCGTCATACTCTTTTCCCACAGGCAGTTGTTTGACCCATTTAGTCACTCCCTATGCAGTAGAGACCCAAACCCGTCCCAACCTTACACTCGCTCACACACACACACACTCGCGCACAGACATAATTTAACGGTGTGTGAAACAACGCAATTAATTAATTAAATTCTTAAGCCCTCGACGCGCACTTGGGTCAAGTGTGAAGATTCTCCATTGTGGCTTGTCAGCTCCCAGTGCTATTATTCGCTTGCCCTGCACTGTATGCCCTTTTGCTGATTGGGGTTGTTATGTTTGTACTTGAATGTTGTGACAAAGGATGCGGGCTAATTCACTCTAAACTCATATTCACTTACTAGAATCAAACTGTCATTTGAATCTGTTAACAATTGTATTCATATTTATATTCATATTTATATTCATATTCACATTATGACCGCATTCATATTCATGTTAATATGAATTCATATTCATATTCATATTCATATTCATTTTCATTTTCATTTTCATATTTATATTCATATTCATATTCATATTCATATTCATATTCATATTCATATTCATATTCATATTCATATTCATATTCATTTTCATTTTCATATTTATATTCATATTCATATTCACATTATGAACGCATATTCACTTTCATTTAAATTCATTCATTAACATGAATATTCTTTATTCATATTCATAATAACTTTCACTCCAATTAATAAACACTCCAACACTCCAACTCAGTCACAGTTCTATTCATTTTCACACTCAATATGAATCATACTTGTACTCATATTGCTCTCATTTACTTTGCTACTTGATATTCATATTTGATATAGAAATGGGTAGTAATACGCTACTATACATAAATATATCTATATATATGTTCATTTAGCAGATTTACATTTGAATTTACATTATCAATTATATAGTTATATAAACATACATATTCATGCTAATTTAGTTCCCAACTGATTCACTCATATTCATTGTGTGTAGTTTTACAGCTTCGTCATGAATACAAATCTGAATCATCATGAATTTTCTGATATGAAATCATGGTTTTCCTGCCCAGAAAGGGTGTCCCAACATCGTTAGTATCATGGAGACTATTATGTTCTGGTTTTAATCTATTTGATGACGTTGCCACAAATACGTGCAGAATGCCTTTTGCAGTTTCATATGGGTTAGAGCGAGAAGGGAAGAGAGAGTAAGAGAGACAAAGACAAGCCAGCAATTTTATAGTAGTGCTTATGTTATATACACACATACACATATACATATACACATATATGCCATCTAGAGGCTTTATACTTTCAGCGCATATGAGCCGCTCATTGCGCTAATGCAGCAGCTCTTTTATTTAATTTAAAATTATTTTCCAACTGTCGTTGGCTCTGGCTCTTCCTTTAGTGTCATATTCTGTTTTTCTTCTGTTTGTTTTTCTTTTTGTTTTTGTATTATTTTTTTTTCGCATCCACTTGGCTTAACGACTTTTTTATTTAAATACGTTTGTTGACATTGCGGACTTGTTGGACTGTTTTGCTACTGCCCTAACCCCCTCTTTTGCGCTTCCTCTCTCTCTCTCTATGTATCTCTCGCTCGCTCGCTGTGTCTTTTGCTCCTGTCTTTGTCCGTGGCCTTTGTTTTTGATGAACAAAGTAAAACTCTGGCAAATCCCATTTGTGCGCCTCGAGTACTTTATCAAAAGCGCAATTAAAGGGCAACGGTAATTATCTGCCCTCTAAGCAAGGCACTAACTACCTCCTACCTCCCACCTCCCGCTGCCCCATGTCTCCCGTCTATATGCCCTGGCGCCATTCTCAACTATTTTAGGGAAATGAAATATTAAATTTCTTTACTCATTTTCATGAAATGCGCGTTGATGTCTAAAAAATATGCTCATTAGAATTATGCCGAGCTCTCAACGCGTTTGCTAGTGGGTGGACTGGGTGGTTTATTTGAAGAGTACACTGGGAAAAAGTTTTGTTTGGAACGAAAAACGTTAAACGTTCTCAAGAATGATCAAATTAGTAATAAAAATTATTCCTATTATTGATAAAAAAAAATCTGTTTATCGTACTTGAATAATGAAATTAAATTAAAAAAAAAAAAAAATAGTATAAATTTTAGTTAATTTACTTAAATTAAGTCGATGAAATCTTACTTAATAAATTAAATACAGCATAATACAATATGATTAATGCTTAAAGATAACTAAATAAAAAATAATAAAAATTTTTCAATTTAAAAAGTCCATCTAAATTAGTAATTAAATATTTTATTAAAAAGCATTTCTTGAAGCATAAAATTCTTTAATTTTGTTGAGTGTATGTACACATATGTGTGTTGTGTATGTGTGTGTGTTGAATTCGTAGGGCGGGGCGTTGGCTAGCTGCTTGCCAGCCCGACGCCCGCCTAATGTGACTGACCTAAATAGTGCGACGGTTGGTTGGCACTGTGCCTGTCCCTAACTGCCACAGCTTAAATGACTGTGTATGTGCGTGGATGTGTGTGTGTGTGTGTGAGTGTGTAGTGTCTGTGGTGTGTGTGCTCATTTGCTTGAGTGTTGCTGTGCAGCTCAAGTTGAATTGCTTCAAGCCGAAGCTCAACTTCAGAGCGCCTCCCTCGCTGCTTTATCCATTTAAATTATAAAATTTAGCTATTTAGCAGCTTGAAATCCATTTAAATCAGCAGTGGCTTCATCTCCATCTCCATCTCCATCGACGGCTACGGCAACGGCAACGGCAATAGCTCCAGCCGGTGCCTGACTTCAGCCGGCTACAGTCAGTTGCAAAAGTTATACGACGACCCCAAGCCAGCGAAAGCGCTAAAGCAGGAAGACGCAGATAAAGACGCGGCAAACATAATGCACGGCAGCAACAGTCACAGGAATAACAAATAGATATTGCTCGACTAACAAGTGCTAGGATATACACTGAGAGAATACATAGGAAATTTCCAGTTTTTTACATTTTGTAGTTTCGAAGAGATTCAATAGACATTGATAGAGCTATATTAATGTATACACTTTTGACTAAAATTTAGGGTTTTCTAATTATATTTATTTTCAATATATATATTACATATACATATATATGCAAAGTCTTTCAAATAAAGAAATATTGAGTATTTTTAAAGACATGAGGAGATGGAGAAATACATACAACAATTGAGAATCTCTAATTTCCAATCAAGATTTTAAGGTTTAAATATACATACCAAATGTTCTTCAACTAAACTTCCTTTATGAAATGCGCACAGGGTATGCCAGAAGAGCAACAGCAACAACAGGAAGCAGTTTGCCCATTTTCATCGCATTGAAGCATTTCATATGACAGACAGACTAACAGACGCGCACACACACAGACGAACAGACGAGCGGGCAGACGGACAGACTTATAGCACTTACATATGTACATCCATCCATCCAGCAATAGCCGTGCGCCGCCCCCGCCGCCCCCTCCGTCCTACTACTCACTCTATCTCTCATATGTCTGGCTGTGCGTTTTATTAGCTCCTTTCGTTGATATGCTCATGCCGTGCTCGCTCGTTTGTCTTTCAGCGCGCGCACAAACACAAACACACACACACAGAGACAACGTAACACCCCCACAACATGGTCTTGCGGCGCCGCCCGGACTCCACTGCGTGCCTGGCATTTGTAATTGGCCAGCATGGCGGCCACGTTGCGGATTTATACGTCCACTTATCAACAGCAGCAACAGCAGCAACAGCAACAGCAACAGCAGCAGCTTCCCTTGCTCAAGCCTCAACTCGTGCTTCATCTAGAGCTGCAGCTTCTCTTTATTGTTCATTGCAGGCAAAAGTGTTCAATTGCCAAGTGCCGCTTGTGGCAATTGTTGTTGCTACTGCTGTTGCTGTTGTTGCTCCTTGAGAGAGACACAGACACCCCCCTCGATATATATGCTCGAACGTATTTTGTTTCCACAGCCATTTGCCTATTTATAGTTGAAGTATTTATTGTTGCCGTGCCACTCGTGGCATGCTCAAGTGCCCACTCATGGGAGCACTTTAATTGCCTTCAATAGGCCGGCTATAGCCTGGCTGGCGTCTTCTTCTGCATTCAATACCAATGCAGGCTCCAATGTCACGGGCCAAGGCGCAACTGGTTGCTGTCGATTGTTGCCATTCCGCATGCAACTCCTTTAACGCTCCATCCATTTATTTATTTGGTTGTTGCTTCTTCTTTTTAGCCATACACAACTGGCATGGCGACGTGCGTTACGGCCTGGCCCTGGATGTGGGCGACTCCGTGGACATTGTCGAGGAATGCCGGCATTGGTTTCGCGGCTCCTGTCCGCGCAAGTCCCGCGCCGTGGGCATCTTTCCCAAAACCTATATACACATCAAGGATCTGTCGAAGATCGATCCGGTCGTGGCCGAGTGCACGCAAGTGCTGCGCGAATGGTCCGAGATCTGGAAGCGTCTCTATGTGGCAAGTATATGCTCTAAACAGATTAAATCATCTTTATTATATCAAACACTTTCTGCATAGGATCGTGAGGCTTACAAGTTCCAGACGCTGCGCAAAGTCATGTACTCCATACTGGATAGTCGGCGAGAGCTGCTGAGCGCCACCATGACTCAGGATCAGACGACCGAACTCCAAATGGTTGTGGTCTCCAAAATTGATTGGGGCAATCGGTGAGTGAAGAATCTAAACTTTTAACTAGAACCAAACTGGGAGTACCTACATATATACCCTATAATTTATTTGTTAACATTTATGTAACAAGCCGAAGAAGGCGTGGCAGCACCTTAAGTATCTAATATTTATAAACGAGTTGAATCGATTCAGTCATGCCAGTCTTTTGTCTAGTCTCTGTATGAACGCAAGAATCTCGAAAACCACAAAAGTTAAAGTGTTGAAATTTGAAATATATATTCGTGGTATACAGAGTTCGATTACTATCCTTATCGATATTAATCGATTAGTTGATTTCATTTCGTCGTTCAATAAGTGTATTCGAGCACTCCTGACTAAAGATCTTTTACGGGTCTCAATATATAATTTATAAATATAGTTTTGACTAATCCAACGTAGTTTTTATACGATAAAAATAAACATTATTTGTTAATCAGAATAAGCGCCAGCCACATTTAGTTTAACCACGCTGCAGCGTTTTATTTCTTATATAAACTTAGTTTCAGCTCAAGGTTATCTGTTTCAAGAACAACATTTATGTATTTCCGCCCATTTTCACAATCTTCAAGTGTTACTCAAAGAATTGTTTACACGCAGTATAAGTATATATAGATACTTATATATATTATACAAGTATATATAGAAATATAATATATGAAAATATATATATAATTGTTTACATATATATTTTGTTATACATGAGAAATTTTTTGTTTTGAAATACGCTGACATATTGAGAACGTCTACATTAACATGCTTAGGTAATGCAAATTCAAAGTTGGATGCATTTCAGCCAAAATATACCCTGTAAAAAGTACGTGTAGAGTACATGGAAAATTGATATGCTTATGCCTGAAGAAAAGAGTAAACTCCTTTTGGTATATTAAACTCCTTTAGTTTAAAATTAGTTTTTCAAATCAAGGTTTCAAATCTTATACAATATATAAAAAAATTCTGGTTTCCTTAATGAAACAAGAAGTTGACATAAAATTCGACTCATATTTGTTACAATTTAAAACTTAGATAGTTTATTTTTTATTTATGTAAAATGTGTTCTTTTCTAGCAGTAATCACAATGATTTTGTTATAAACAAAATTGCTTAAAATTACGTACATATGTATAAATGTCTAAAAGATAAGACAAAAATAGCGAGAGCAATTGCTTTTTGTTACTGTTACGGTTATATAATTCAATTACTACAATTTAGCTGTAAGTATGTCTCCTACTGTGTATGGATCTACATTTAAATTAATATAGATCAACGTTGCGTGAGCTGCGATCTTGGCGTGATCAAAGAGCAAAAAACTATAGACTATATTGTATATATATTTAAATGGCGCATCATTGTTAACTTTACTACGGATACAATGCTGTAATAGGTAGCAGTATAAGCATATCGGATCAATTTCATTATCATTCACAAATCCAGCCTACAAATTGCACGGTCTGCCTGTGTGTTCTCTCTCTTTCTATCTTTCATTATCTTTCCCTATCTTAGCTTGCACTTTCTCATCATCATCTCTGTCTCTCTCTCTCTTTTTCACTGTGTCTAACGGCTTTTGCGTTATATAATTTTGCTAAAGAATTCCATATATGTTGATGTTCTGTTTTCGTTTTCGATTTTGTTTTTTTCTAAAGTTTCCTCAAATTCAAGTTTCAACTTAAAAAACAGTCTTAGAGATGTACATACAAGTATATATATATATATATATATATTGACACATATATATGTTATATATTAGAAAGCCTACAAGCCTAGAACACCTAAAAAAACCCCTCCAATCGGTCACATCTCTACATCGTCTACAAATATTATTGAGAAATCATTGAAATATTTTGTTTGTTTTGTTTAAAATTAGCGCCAATTTAATTGCTTTAGCGCCTATGTCTCGGTCTCCTTGCCGCCGAACAGCTCGGCGGGCGGGTAAATTGAATGGCTAATCGGATTCATTTCCAACGTCGAGGGGGCGGAGGGTGTACGGGAGGCACCCAGCAAGCCGCATAGCTGATGCAGCATATCGCCGTACGACCGTGTGGTAAGATTCTGGCTAAGGAAATGCAAGATCAAGAAGTCGCCAATCTAAAAAACCATAGAAAGTTGAAGAAATCGAATTAGTTATTATACAAATCATGTAATATAGTCGATATAATCACCTCCAAACGTCGCACGAGTCCAGCGATTTCCTTGCGCTGACCCGATCGATAGGAGCGCTTGATGATTGTTTCGCGTGTGGTGGGCATCATGATGACCACCAGGGAATAGAGCACAGCCACGCCCGAAATGGTAGCCAATATAATGAACCAGAACCTATAGAGAAAATATCATTTGACAAGCATGATCAATTAGGTCGAGGAGCTGACCTTACCATAGGAATATGTAGATCTTCTCGTTGAGTATATTGAGGGCCAGCACGCAGAGCGTATCGTGTTTCTGTATGGAGCCACTTGGGCCGAATTTGCGGAACGTACATTTCGTTAATCTTGGAAAGATCTCAATCATCGGGTCGTAGCGCATGTCCTGATCCATATTGGAGAACTTGAGGACATCAGTACCATAGGACATAAAAGCACCGCCCAGAAACTTATCCACCATGAAGATATTGACAATGACATTGATGAAGTTCAACAGTTCGCAGAAGAAATACGCAAAGGAGTAGCCGTTGTGTGAGTTGAGACTTTCCATAAAGTATTTAATGATGCGATCCTGCCGTTCCTTGCGATAATCTTCCGGCACCGAGACCATGCCACGCAAACCATCCGTTATCATGCGAATCTTGCCATCCTCCATATTCTTCCAGATCCAGTGGGGCACATAGAACATGAGACCCTAAACAGAATAGAATCGTAGGATTAGCTTGCCAAGGTATCTTTTCATCTGAAAACTCACCTGGAAGAAGAGCACGAATGGCACCCACTGATAGTAGCTATGGTAGCGTTTCTCCTGTCCATATTCGTTGCCCAATCCAGGCCCAGCCACATCGGTGCCAATTTGCCTGTGCTGTTGGCCAGGTATCGTGAAGGTATATGTTATCCAGCAGAAGGTGTTGATCACATGCATAGGTATGGAGCCGTCATTAATGCAGCTAATCGGATCACCTGCCAGAGAGAGAGGGGGAGAGAGAAAATGATCATGAGTAAAGATATGTCTGTTACATAACCAGGTTTATGTTATAGCTAGATCCACAATTGGTTTAATAAACGCTGTCTACAACTAATTGCATAAATCAGTTGCAATTTGGAAATAGAACCCGCGACCTTTTATTTTTATTATTTTACTTTTTTATGTACATTCAAATCAAATCCATTTTGCATTTCACAGCCAGTTGAGTGCAGCCAAATGCCGTTCATCAACGTCAAGTGGCATTAAGGCAATCTAAATCTCTAACCCTGGTCATAGAAATTCTGGATGGGTGTGCCAGACCCACCCCCTCCCTACCCACTCTTCCCCTCCCACTCTCTGAGTCTATCCAATTCTGTTGCGCACACAACTAGAAGAGCTGAACTGAGCTATGTATGTGCTTTGGGGCTTGTTTGAAGTTTCCTAGAACTCAATTGTCAATATTTATATTGGCACCACACACGTACGTATGTATGTGTGTATGCTTGGAGCGCTTCTCTTAATGCACAAACATTGGCTTTGGCAGCGAGTTTTGGCCATAAATCAATTTCACAGAAACGGGCTCAGACGTGTTGTGGCTTGCCACGAAAGACGAAAGTAGAAAAAAAATATGACTTGTCTGTCTTGCTTCATTTAGTAGCAGCCTGAGAAGAGTGTAGGAGACCTGGCTGGCTACATGGATCTTCACACAGCCAAGACACGCACCACCCGCTGTGACTCATTCGTTTGACTCATTTGCGTATTCATCTGAAATCTGATGAACGTGCCGCAGACCTTCCAGTTAGCGAACCATTCAATATTGAGCAAGCGTAAATAGGTTTCGAAATTCAATTAGCTCAAAAGGGTTTTCTACTCGATATACAGGCGAAATACCCTAGAGTACATTGCTTATTGAAATTTTAGATACTTCGTAGAAAGGCTGTTAGCTATGATACTCTAAGTATACTTTTAGAGACAGTTAAAAACTTTAAATACTCCCTTAGCTATAAACCATTCTCATATATCAGAGTCACTGTTTATATTTCATAATTTTAGAATCATTGAAAATTATTAATGATTCATAAACTGTATGAATAGTTTAACTACAATCGAGTTTACAGTTTGCAAACTACCGTATTCAGTTCTACAGTTCGACAAGCATTTAGAATCTATAAAAAAAAAACAGTTTTCAGCTACAATTGCAATCTAAACAATGAGTAACATATTGTAGTTCATATACAATCATTTTGTTTTGTTTATCTTAACAGCTGCTTTGTAGATTGTTAACAGAGTATTGGGCAGTCGTGAATCACCGTTTTCGTACCTCTTGCTAACCATTTATGCTGCACTCAGCGCAATCGACAGTAATTGCATGCACAAATATATATGTATGTATGTAGATATAGGGCCAAATGCATGGCTAACACATTTGCATAGACTGCACTAATTTTCACAGGTTTCGAATTCGATTTCGAGTACGAGCAGAAGAAGAATGAAATTACACTTACCAATCAAATTGTTGGCCGTAACAATAATGCAACAGGTGAAGAGTATGGCTGTGGTAATCCTATAATGGCAGCGAAAGACCATGTTATCGATGATCGCCTTGTCCAGCAGATAGCGTATCTTGATGAAGCTGGAGACAGCCGAGACCATGCCAAAGACCGCCATGTTTCTAGCTTCGACTTCTGCTGCTTCTTCTCGCTGCTGTTGTTGCTGCTAATTGATGTTGTTGCTGTTGACTAAACTAAACTGTAAATGAGAGAGAGGAAACATTGTTGTTTGTAGTTATGCCTATTATGCAATGAGAAGCTTACGACAGGCTGCAATGTGAAAATTTATAAAGTGTGTGTGTGTGGGTGGGTGTGTGTGTCTAAGTTATCTGGCACAACACATAATGTGACATATTTGAAATGATGCGCAACTACAGCACACATTTCCGTTGGCTGCCTTATCGCTCTGCCCTCTACAAGCCGCACTTACAATTAAGTAAGTGCCTCTCCCTCAGAGATTGCTCTGTCCCTCTCTCTCTCTCTTACTCTTTCTGTTGCATAAATTTTTTTGTTTTCTATTTATTTATGTTGTAGCACAATCTAATCTAATCTTTGTCTTTTGTCCGCACACACACATAGATCGGTTGAATGGCCTCAGAGCGAGTCTTGGAGCCGAGAAGAACCGGTAAATTGGGCTCTGGCCAAAGCTTTTGTCAACCCACGCATAAATTTCACTTTGGGGCATGGCAGTTTATATGTACATATGTATGTATGTGCACACCACTTGAAAGTCAAAGCTATTTTGTATAGTCCTCAGCCCAATATGAGCGTATGTATGTATATTTACACATATAGCTAACGTCTCGAATTCGATCATATAAGATCGAGATCAGGTTCTTTTCTGTTTGTCTTTTGTTTTCTTTATTTCGTTCTTCGTTTCTTTCTTTTTTTGAAAAGGCTCTCGAGATTTGTTGGCGCTTTTGTTTATATGCAAATTTGTCATGTTTGTTGCTGTCGTTATTTTAATTTCGATTTGTGCGTCTTTCATTTCGGCAGCGCATATCGCATAACTCTCTCAAATACACACGCACACGACACGCACACATAGAGTCGTCTCTGTCGCACACACTGCAATTAAAGTCAAATTGTGTCTGCATCTGCGCGGCGGCAGCTACTCCTTTTCAAAATGCAGCCAGCTTCTGCCTTCAGCACTGAGCATTGAAAGTTACACATAATGCTTCATGCCCTCTACACACTAACACCAACACAATGAGATACACAGCGCATACGAACACACACTCACTCACTCACACACACACACATAGACAGAGAGAGCCAGGCACTTCATTTCAACTTCAATTCTTTTGCTGCTGCTGCTGCGGCTGCTTTTTTTTTTTTTTTTTTTTTTTCAATAAATTTTTCGAAAAACTGGTTTTAAGGTATTTTTTTTTTTTTTTTTTTTTCGTGTGATCGGCGAGAGCGAGAGGCCCCCAAGTTCGGTTCGGGTCGGGTCGGTTAGTGTATGTTGCCACTGTTGCGCTTTGCTGCCGTTTTTCAGTTTTTTTTCCGAAGTTTTTTTCTTTTCTTTGCGCTACCAACATTAGCCGAGCCTGTCTGCAGCTTTTTGGCCGCTATTCTTTTAAGTGATTCTTTTGCTCCTGCCAATTTGGCATTTCGCATACAAAATTTATAGCCACTTTTGACACATTGAAAACTTGTTTTAAACGCGTTGCGGGCCATTAATTTTCTGGCCCGTTTTGTGCCTGGCCTTTGCAAATTATTTTTTAATTTATTGTTGTCTCTAGTAATTATACTTTGTTGCAAATTTTGGTTCTGCTTCACAGCAACACACACATAGACGTAGCAACCACCTCAGCTGTAGCTGCATTTGAAACTGCATCTGCATGTGTAGCTGCAATTGTGTGCGTGCGTGTATGTGTATAACTGAGTAGATTTTTTTTTTTTTTTTTTTTTTTGTTTGTAGCTAACAACTGCAGCTTGGTGCTTTGCTGTGATTACCGTTTTCTAAATTTGTGCAGCTGCGCTCAGCGGCGTTCCAAAACCTACTGAATTGAACGCAAAACGGTGCTAACTTAGCCCACCGCTACACAGAGCTGCGCTCTCAGAGAGCTCGGCAGTGCACTCGCTCTCGCTCTCGCATATAGTCGCGCGTACTTACTCTCTCACTCTCATTCTCTCCCTCCCTCACTCGCTCGCTCTCTCACTGGCTTTGCGCTCTCGAACCAGTTGGTCTGATCGCAATCAGCGACTGGTTCCGACTCACAGCTTGGAAATTACGCTCAGATTGCATTTGCACGGCCTGTTACCTGGGCGCTGTATCGGCCACCACCTACAGGTAGATCGCCGCTTGCAACGTTTATTTATTTAGCCCGGCATTAGAGCGGGCAAATGGCATTCAATGTTGATTTACTTGCTTAACCCCAGACCATGACAACATATGTATATATCTGGATCAAACTTATCTGTTATTCCTTCTCCCCTCTTCTGCTTCTCTCTCTTTATTTTCGTTGCTGCCCCGCTCCACTTCGCCAACGACAGCCATTCGAAATTTATTGCTTCATAAGAAACCTGCTGCGGCTGCGCCCACTCTTGGACCTGCGTACAACTCTATCGATTCTCGCTTCGATCTGTGCCTCAGTTTTGACTTAAGCGCATTGTTAGTCAAAATCAAAAGAACAATTCGTTAGACTATTGAATACACTTTTCATAAGCCAAGTCTTTAACATGGACTAAGCAGTCTATTGTAATGGAGTAACAAATCAAATTCAACAGAAAATTGTAATCAATTTGTTTTATTGATTACTTAACTCATGGGTAAAGTAAGGATTTCCTATATACATATAACATTCATTATAATATGTTGGATTTATTATGTTGGGAAACGATATCAAACGATATGATATGCCAATATTATATTCGATTAGTTCGAATATCCCGGCCAAATAACACATCCCAAAAATGAGAAAAAAAATACTGTAATACTTTAGAGAGGTAACCTAATGATTTCTAATTGCAATAGGTCAGCTGAACAAATTGTGTACTAAACTCTAAAATGACTTATCTGATATTCTTAACATATAAAGTCTTGGACGTATTCTATTCTATTTAATTCTACATACATAGATGTTACATCTACGTAGTAGAATAATAGCATATATGCTAAGGACATTTTAACTATACTTTTCTTTATAAACACTTTTCAATGATTATCAATATAATCTATTTCAATAATTTAATATAATAAAAAAATTTAATTCATTTATGATATGTAGTTTAGATAATAGATAATAATAATAAGATTATTATTATTACATCCTTATTAATATGAGTATATGTAGGTAATAAAGATCGACTTGATTGATTAAAATATCCTATCAAAGTCTTAAGAGCTGATACAATAGACTTGCATCTTAGCTAGGGACAGCTGTGAGAGCATTTAAGCCCTGTTGGCTAGACTAGACTTTATGCAAAATGCGCTCAAGTGGCTGAGCAAGTGCATCCATGAGAAGAGATCTTAGTCTCAGTCTATGTTTGTCTGTCTCGCTCTACCTCTCTCTATCTCTGTTCTGCATAGCTAAAGTGTGTCGCTGGATTTGCATGTGAAGCCGGCTAGAGAAGCGAATGCGACAATGCAACTTGTTGCCAGGCGTAGCTCCAGCGACTGCTCCACCATTCGCTTAACCCTGCCACAACTTGTTGCCAAGATGACTCAGCTGAAATGAGTTGGTCTTGGCTGCTGCTGCCATAATGAAATGGCATTTCGTAATGGCTGCTGCTGCTGCTGCTTCTGCTGTTGCATGTCCTGTCCTGGTCGCCTTGTTGTTTGTTTATTGTCTGCGGCGTGGTTGCCACGGTTGCCTGGTTGCCGTGTGCCTCGGCTGCCACAAGTTGCCTGTGCGGGTTTTGAAATGTATCTCAGAGCAACACACACCTTTTATAAAGACATTAAATGCGAGATATATGGCATGTGTGATTGTGATAAAAATGTATCTGTTACGGCTGCGACCTGCAGATGCAGATACAATACCCATGTTGTTGTTGTTGTTGTTGTTTTTGTTGCTGCTGCAGTTGTTGCTGTTGCTGCTTGTGGTTGACGCTGCTTATCGATGTGTAAATAATTAATTTTTCTGTATTTTATTTCTCACTCTTTCTGTGGCTGGTTCAGCTTCGACGTGCTGTATCTGCTTTAGATTCTTCTTTTCGTAGCCATAGATATTTTGTTTAACACTTTAAAATTCAAATTGATGGAATAAAGAAGTTTATATGTTTCAAATTAATAAACATTATTTTTGTTGTGCACTTTTATCACCTGTGGCGCTGCTTTGCGGGACTTAATTAAAAACGATTTAAAGCGTTTATTACGCGCTGTGCTACCGTTTGTTGAGTCAGCATTTCGGTGCAGCAGTTGGGGGCAGTTTGTGGCAACTGCGCACGCGCGCACGCTCGTGTTCCTTTATATATATGTTTATATGTATGTGTATGTATATTTCGTATCCATAAGATACATTTTGGGAAGCATAGCATTTCTTTTTTTTTAATCGTATCAACTGCATGCAGAGCTACACAGTTGTTCGTTGCCTGTTGCCCAGCTTAAAGCGTAACAGAGGTGGCTCAACACACACACACACACACACACACTCAGCCTGCAGAGAACACCAGTTCCAGTTCCAAAATGGAAACCTCATAAATTCAGTTCTCTCTCTTGCGATCTCGCGCTTTGAGGCTCTCTTAACACCCTCTCTCTGTCTCTGTCTCTTTCTCTCTCTGTCTCACTCTCTCAGCTACACGCTCTCTCCGTGCTGGCAACAACAAGAAAGTCGTTTAGGCCTCGTTAACAACCAAAAAATAAAGTAAAACGGCATCTTGAGCTGCTCTGGCGAACGTGTTGGAAGTCTCAGCCTAGACGCTAGCTTAGTGCCATCTCTCTCTCTCTCTCTCTCTCTCGCTCGCTGCGTAAGCCAGGTAGAAAAGTCAAGCGTAGCCGAGGTAGCAACATCGTCGGCAACATATTGCTGATGACGTTGGATGGGCTCTCGCTGCTGCTGCTGCTGCTGTTGCTGCTGTTGCTGCTGTTGCTGCTGTGGCAGCCAGGTTAAGTCGCGTATGCGCCACCGGAATGCCGTGAACCCATTACCTGTTGCCTGGCTGCCTGCTGTATCTGTGCCTTGTTGGCTGCCAGCTACTACTTTGTAAGCCAAATTTATGCGTCATATTATGCGAGAGAACTTTAGACTTAACCTTAACTCTGATCACAATGTCAATTTCACGCTCTCTCTATCTCTTTCTGTCTCTGTGTCCCTCTCTCTTTCTATCTATCTGCTTGATATTTGTTAGCCCGAATTCGAAACTGGATGCCGCTAACACGTTAGAGCCTAATTTATAAGTCCAGCAGAGCTGTTGTTAGCAAGATTAAAATCTTAATTGCGCTTTGGAGTTCTTAAAATTAAATACGTTAAAATTTACAGAATTATGAATGGTTATGAAGTTAATGCAAATGGAAGGGAACTGTATAGTTGGAAGCTAGCTAAGAAAGAGGATATAGTGGAATAGTTATATTAATAGTGTATATCTGGTTTTCATATTTATGGGAATATATTATATCATTATATGATATTATAGCTAGCTAATAACGTATACCTTAAGAATATATTGTTGTTTCCTATATTTATAAGTATTTATCATATGATTTTATTTATTTCTCTTAGCAGCATGTTGAGAAATAATGTTCTAGTTAACTAATCATGTGGCTATTAGCCTAGTTTATTTATGTTTGGTACTCAATTCGGTTTGTTAATTATATTCTGTGTAGAGTCTTAATCTCATAAATCCAAAAAAAAATTGCCGCTCTTGAAGATAAATGCGTAAGAATTCCATATATTTGAATGCCCTCATAAATACGTAGTTTTTTGTTCCAACCGAATTCCCAGGCGAGCTCCGATCACTCGAAATGGCAAGGGAATTGCGAATTACATTTGCTTACGAATTGTCGAGAATTTCCTTTTACGAGGCTCGAAAACAAATTTTTCGAAAAAATGTGTTTTTTACATTTTACTTTTTAGATAACACATTTCAAATTATCGGAATTCGACTATTTATCAGTTATCTTTCAATGTATTCAACTCATGGTAAATTGTTTTTCACAGTGAAAAAATTAACTTCAATGTGGCAATTCCAATAATTCAGTTGGAATTAAAATCTCAGTAGATCAAGCCCTATCTAGTCGTCTGCCCAAATTTCCTCAAATCTAACCTTAAACATTCGGTGTATTTCTCCAACTGTCCGTGTGTAGAAATGATTGTAACTCTACCGCAATTTAAAGATCTATAGAATTAAAGTGTGTTCCATAGGCCTATATACAGTGCAATTATAATTATACTGAGCAGAACTCAATATCAAGTACCCAAAAAGCATTTCCATATATCCAATACTTAAGTTTTAAATAACTCGAAATATAAATATAATATGTAATTTTTGTATATGAAGGTTGCTCATAGAATATACTAAATTTATGGCATCTCCTAGTCGACCACTTCCATTCATTCTACTTTGCTCAATTGGAATATTTCCAATTCCGATGTGCTTCATTTGAACTCTGGAACTTAATGATCAGCAAATTTCTATAAATGTGCTTTAGACTCTGCGCACAATCGTAGAAACGGCATACGGAACCATATAAATATATGTCCAATATTTCTATGAATATTAATGTGTCGAATATCAGAGCTGATCGAGCGTGAAGCTGATATAGAACAATACATATAGGCACACATTACTCTAGAGTTGCTGATAAACACCTATTGCATGCACCACCTGCCTATACCCCTCCTCCTCCTGTGCTCTGCTGGTGCTTTATTTTTGGAAACGCTTCTTTGATTAATGATGCCCCAATGGAGCCGCCTGACTGCGCCTGACTGACCAAATTGAATTAAAGCTGTTGCCACAGCACTCGACTCGACTCCGATCCGGCAATTAATAATGAATGCGTCAAACTCATTTAAGCCCCCAAATAGCCGCAGCTGGCTCTGGTGCCATAAACCAACTATTTTCACACACCCGGAACGTGACTAAGTGGCCAAGTTATTTTAGCTGTTCTCGCTCTGGCTCTCCTCTACAATTCATTCATCAACCATAATACTCAACTAGACTGATTTTCCCCCATTCCCGATCTTTTGCAGAAAACTGGGCCTTGACTTGGTGCCACGCGTGGGTCCCCTGGCCGTGGATCCGCATAGCATCGGCATTGTGAAGCTCTACAATGTGCATGTGAGCAGCGCGGATAATGCCAAGGCGTCATCGGTAAGCTAAAGCTGATTGAGTGATGTAAACACTTCATATATAACTCTTTCTCTCTCCCCTACCATCAATCTCTCTCATTATTGCTCTGTATGCCACTTTCTCTCTCTCGCTCCCAATATCTGTCTCGTTCACTATTCTTTCTGTGTTTGTCTGTCACTGTATCTCTCTTTCTATCCCTTTTTTCTTCTTTTCTTTATTTTCCGCTCCCATCTTCACTTTACTTCATACTCTCTATTACTCTCTCACTTTATATCTCCCTCTCTTTATCTCTACCTTTCCGTCTTTCTTATTCTCCCTACCTTTCCGTCTCTCTCTCTCTCTCTCTCTCTCTCTCTCTCTCTTATTTTCACTGTCCATCTCTTTCATTCTGCTTCTCTCTTTCATTCTCTCTCTTATTCACACACTTCATCTCTTTCTCTATCTCTCCCACAGAGTCGCGGCACTTTGCGCCGGAAGATTCAGCGCAAGATTCTCAGTCATCATTTGTATTTCTGCATGCGAGATTTCGGACATCGCATTGGCGGCGATGATGCCGAGGTGTATTTCTTTCTCTATGACGGCAATCGCATGCGTCCGGTGTCGGAACGTTTTCTGGTCAAAATCTCCAAGGATGGCTTCTCCAATTATATCGAGAAGTTGCACAGCAACTGCACCGTCTTCACGGATCTGGGTAAGATTAGCCTAGCTCAAAGTGCAATTCTCATATACTAAACTCTCTTGCCGCAGGCGCTGCTGATCTCAATGAGGAACTGCATCTGGTGGCCGTTGTTATGCGCGTGGGCAAAATCATTCAGTCGGATTCCATGAAGAAGACCGAGAAGAATAACTCCTCGAGCATGACCGGACCCACCTATCGTCGGCCGTACGGCGTGGGCGTGCTGTCCCTCGCGGACATTTGCCAGTTCGACAGCAGCCTGGAGCAGCAGTCATCGGAGGAGCGCGAGTTCAACTTCAAGCTGTATCAGAGCGAGGAGAAGGACTTCCATCTGCTGCCCGAGCTGATTATCAAGAAATCCAGTGGCAAATACTCGCCGATCCAGCCGGGCAACCAGAGCACCCAGGGCATCGTGGTCTCACTCAAGCTGCTGCACGGCGGATTGGTTCAGGCGCGCAAGGAGCAGCCGTTGCTCTTCCAAGGCACGACCATAACGCGGAAAATGGGCTTCCCCGATGTCATCATGCCGGGCGATGTGCGCAACGATCTCTTCCTGACCCTGGAGCGCGCCGAATTCGAGCGAGGCGGCAAGAATACGGGCAAAAATATCTTGGTCACGGTCGTTGTGCTCGACGTGACGGGCAACGTGCTGACGGACTGCCTGTGGGGTGCCTCCGGCATGGATGCACTGCCTCAGTATCGCTCCATGATCCTGTACCATCAGAATGCGCCCAGCTGGAATGAAATGCTGCGCCTCAGCGTCCCCATCGACAAGTTCTCCACGGCCCACGTGCGCTTCGAGTTCCGGCACTGCTCGACGCGGGAGAAGTCAGAGCCGAAACTGTTCGCCTTCAGCTTTGCCCGGCTAATGGATACGAGCGGTGCCACCTTAGGCGACGGCCTGCACGAGCTCTATGTCTACAAGTGCGAGGATCCCGCCAAGCTGCAGCCGGCCAACTATCTGCGCCTGCAGTGCCGGCCGAGAGATGCGCAGGCCAAGGTGGATTGCAGCGGCTGCTTTAGTCGCAGCTCCAAGGAGGTGTTCGTGCTGCGCTCCCTGCTCTGCTCCACGAAGCTGACGCAGAATGCGGATCTGCTCTCGCTGCTGCAGTGGCGCGCCCATCCCGAGACCATACAGGACTCCCTGACCGGCGTGCTGCGGCTAAACGATGAGGAGCTGGTGAAATTCCTGCAGGATGTGCTCGACGCCCTCTTCGCCATGTTCTCCAACGAGGAGGGCAACAGCACTCAGCACTCGGGCCTCGTCTTCCATGTGCTGGTCAGCATCTTCAGTCTGTTGCAGAGCAATAAGTTCCAGCACTTCCGGCCCGTGATGAACGAGTATATCGAGAATCACTTTGCCGCCGCGCTGGTCTACAAGGGCCTCATCACCTCCGTCGAGCACATGGCCGTCTTTATGACCAAAGCGGAGCATCCGGATCCGTTTCAGAAGTGCTTCGGCTCGTTGGAGTACATATTCAAATTGTTGATACAATCACGGCGTCTCTTTGCGCGAGCAACTGGAGGGCAGTACGAGGACTCGTTTAGGCGCGATCTGCATTCGCTCTTCACAGCGCTCAATGGGATGTTGGCCGTGCCGTCGTACGACGTCATCATTCCCACGCAGGAGGCGTTGCTGAACTCGACGGGCGTGGTGCTGGAACAGCTGAAGGACACGCTGCCCGCTCCAGAGCTGGGCATGCTGGCCAGGAATATGCTGGACGCGATACCGCGTGGTGCGCCCATACGACTCATCCAGGCCAAGCTGCAGGCTGTCAAGGATCTGGTGTCGGGCGAGCTCTTCCACGAGGATGGTAAGCCACTCAGGTAGTTAATCCGGATTATAAGCTAGCTAATCTTTAACCCTTTCAGATTCCCGCACCGTTGTCCTTTCGGTTGCCTGCAAGCATCTGCGCATGCATCTCAGCCGGCGCGATGAGCTGCGCCTGTGCGCTGAGATTCTCTCGGAGATTCTCAGCCAGCTGTTCGAGCTGCAGCGGGAGCAGCGCGAAAAGATCACCAACACGCTGCAGCATGATCTGGACTCGCTGTGCAAGAATATCCTGGGCATCCTAATACGCACCATCAGCATCATCATGGAGGGCTCCAATCCGAATCTGCCCCAGCTGGTGGCCTGTCTGCTGGGCCTGCTGCAGCTGCTGGACGAGACGCACTATAAACGCTACTGGGACGAGCTGACGCCCAACAAGGATCCGCGCGATCTCAAGGACTTTCTGAGCAAATCGCTGCTGGTCTACGAGGAGCTGCTCACCCAGGATTGGCTGGTCTTCCCCACCGATTGGCTGATCATGAAGCTGGCCGCCAACGATGTGATGCGCAAGTCGCTCGAGGAGTTCGCCAAGCCGCTCGTCTATCGCTTCCTCGGCCCGCAGGCCTTCGACTCGCAGCTCTGGTGGAGCTACTTCAGCCTGGCGGTTACATTCCTCACGCAGCCCTCGCTACAGCTGGAACAGTACAGGGAACCGAAGCGCCTAAAGATCTTGCACTCGCACGGCGACATGCGGGTCCTGATGGGCTTCCAGATACTCAGCATGTGGTCGCAGCTGGGCGAGCAGAAGCTCCACTTCATACCATCGATGGTGGGTCCGTTCCTGGAAGTGACCCTGGTGCCAGAGCCGGCGCTGCGCAAGGCCACACTCTCCGTCTTCTACGACATGATGCAGTGCGAGCAGGTGAGCCAGAGCCTTACCTATTTTCACCTGTTTAAATCCTCAGCTACATCTACTTCTGTCATTCCCAGGCTGCTCGCGGCTCGTTCCGCTTGGTGGAGAGCGAGCTCATTGATAAGCTGGATCTGCTGATCAGCGAGAACAAAGGCGACGACGAGTATCGGGAACTCTTTAGCACCATGTAAGTACGCTTTGCCATCTGCTTAACTATATGGTATATATCTGATTTATATATATGTATATCAATATATGTATATTCAAATGTATATATATCTATATGTCTGTATAAATGTCTCACCTCAATCAAACACTCATTGCAATCGCCATCCATATGTAAAGGGAACATCTCAGCTTGGTGTAAGTTCAACTCGCATTTATTTGCCTTAGAAACACCCTAAATAGTATATAGTCAAGTAAATCGTAGTGCTTTTATTTCGATTTGTCTTGTAGCTGCTTCACGTAAATACTTAAACACATTTCGAAAATATTCCCCAACTAAATATTTCTTAATTGAGATACTTTTATTTTTATTTTTTCTGTGATCTTAAGTTATATCATGCGAAATTCCATCTAGTCCTATATCACCAGGATATTTAAGCTTGGGTTATATGTTTCTATTTGAAACTTTCTAAGTTTTATTTTTATCTTTCAACATTAAGTTCTGATCTTTTATTAATCTAAAAGAATATCTAATTCTGCAAAACATATCGTCCAGGATATCTAGTCCTCTATTCGCTTTTAAGTTCCAATTTCAAACCATTTTTTTCTCATAAAAAATGTATTTTATTTTCGAAAATTATGCACATGTAGCTAGCTATATACTTACACAGTATCAAATTTTATTCTAATATCGTAATATTATCCATCAGAATATTGAATCCTCGGCTATTTCATTTCGAAATTCCATTGAAGATATTTAAAAAGAAATGCCATTTCGACCCTTTGTAATAATATAAATCGAACCTCTTCTAGTTTGCTGGAGAAGGTGCGTACGGAGAACCCTAGCTGGAAGGATGCGGGCACCGCTTTTATAGCCTCTGTGACGCGTCTGCTGGAGCGACTGCTGGACTATCGCAGCGTGATGCAGGGCGAGGAGAATCGAGACAAGCGCATGACCTGCACCGTCAATCTACTCAACTTTTACAAAAACGAAATCAATCGCAAGGAGATGTATCTGAGGTGCGTTGAGTCACTATGATCTCTAAGCAATCTTTGAATCGATTAATATAGTCCATTTCAATAATACCGCCCACAGATACATCTATAAGCTGCACAATCTGCATCTGCAGGCGGAGAACTATACGGAGGCGGGCTATACGTTAAAGCTGTACGCCTCGATGCTCAGCTGGGATCGAGAAACGCAGAGCTTTGCGCCCTTCGACAACAGCGGGCAGCCGGAATGGCAGCGCAAGGAGCGACTTTATCATGAGGTAGGTCCACCCTAAAACTACCCGACTCTATTGGCTTATAAACTCTCTATGTATACATCTTGCAGATACTCAAGTACTTTGACAAGGGCAAATGCTGGGAGAAGGGCATACCGTTGTGCAAGGAGCTGGCGCAGCTGTACGAGACGCGACGCTTCGACTACAACAAGCTGAGCGACATACTCATCCTGGAGGCCAAGTTCTTTCAGAACATATTGACACAGCTGCGCCCGGAGCCGGAATACTTTCGCGTCGGCTTCTATGGCATGGGCCTGCCGCTTTTTGTGCGGGTGAGCTAACGCCTTACCATAGGCAAAAGAATCCACTCACTGACCTGTCCAATCTCTTACAGAACAAACAGTTCGTTTATCGCGGTCTGGAGTACGAGCGCATTGGCGCGTTCACGCAGCGCCTGCAGACGGAGTTTCCCAGCGCCCAGATCCTGGCCAACAATAGTCCGCCAGAGGCATCGATCTTGAATGCGCCCGAGCAGTACATACAGATCAGCAATGTGCGACCGGTGGGCGATGCGCAGGCGCTGAAGACGGCTATGGTGCCGGTGCCGGAGAAGATTGCGCGCTTCTATGAGGTGAACGATGTGACGCGCTTCATCTATGACCGGCCCATGTATAAGGGGCCCATCGACAAGGACAACGAGTTCAAGTCGTTGTGGATCGAACGCACCACCCTGGACATAACCAGCCCGCTGCCGGGCATCTTGCGCTGGTTCGAGGTCAAGCACAAGTCGGTGCAGGAGCTGACGCCAGTCGAGTATGCCTGCGAGATTATCAACAATGCCGGCAAGGAGCTAGCCGATCTGATTGTCCAATACAGACGTGATCCCAAGCGCAACATCAATCCGTTTTCGATGCGCCTCCAGGGCACCATCGATGCCAATGTCATGGGCGGCATCAGCAAGTACCAGGAGGCCTTCTTCTCCGAACAGTTTCTCAAGTCTCCGCAGGGCGCTGGCCAACAGGCGAATGTGCAGCGCCTGAAAGTGCTCATATTGGAGCAGATACAAATTCTGGAACAGGCACTGGAGCTGCATGGCCAGCTAGCGCCAGCGGGCGTGCAACCGCTGCACAATCGCCTGCTCGAACGCTTCTCGCAGCTGAAGCAAAGCCTCTCCGGCATGGGTCGGCTGAAGCGTCAGCCCTCGGAGAGCATTGTGAATACACCGCTGCCGCCGTTACCCACAGAGCAGCGAGCCGCAGCAACTGCAGCAGGAGCAGGAGGCGGAACCGTAGCTGGAGCTGGACTTGTCCACCAACAGGCGAACGCCAACTATGTGTACGAGCTGGATGAGATTTATACGCGGCCCGGCGATACGCTGCGTCCGGTTGAGGCCATGAATTCCTATCAGACTCTCAGCAAGGAGAGCCTCAGCATAGTTCTGCCGCCCGTCGAGCAGGCGGATGCGCCGCCAGTGCCGCATCGCCCACGCTCCCAGAACTTTGTCACAGCCGGCGTCAACGGCGGCAGCATCGACAGCCCGGAGGTGCCGCCCAAGCGCCAGCCCATGAGCAGCTCATCCAATGCACCGCCCCTGCCGCCGCGTGGCATTACGCCGGACAAGCGTGCCTCCAATCCGATGATATTCAATGATTTCGGCGCTGGCCACGCATCAGATGCCGCTGCCAGGCGGCACTCAGCACAGCAGCAGCACGGCCAAAAGTATTCTGTGGTGGACATCAGCTTCGATGATCCCGAGGCGGATCAGCAGCCGCACTCACTGCCGCCCAATCTGCAGGAGGCGGGCAATCACCTGAGCGTTTGCTTTGCGCCCAACGATTTCCGTGACTCTGGCATCTCGACGACCAGCTCGCGAGAGCTCAATCAGCTGAACAATCTCAGCGAGGAGTCGGCCAGCCTATCCATGAGCACGGTTCACCATCGGGAGCACTGTCGCATCAGCTCCAATGGCAGCCTCGATATGCACATGCATGCCGGTGGCATGAATATAACGCAACGTGACAGCTCGACCAGCTCGTTTGATGTGGAGGACATACCCGTGCCTCCGCCACCGATACCGCCCAAATCCTTGGGCGTGACGGCGAACGGACTGGGCCCAAATCTGACGACGAGCGACGAGGCACACTCACCCAACACACATGCATCGCTCAATCATTCCATTAACAATCACAATCATCATTCACACAACAATCAGCAGCCACAGCAGCAGCAGCAGCAGCCGCAGCCGCAGACGCAGCCGCCGCAGCAATTCAATGGCGATGGCGCCGGCGAGGGCTACAGCTTGCCGCAGCAACAGCTGCTGGCCAATGGCCGTGCGCCTGGGCCTGCGCCGGTGCCGGTTGCTGTTGAGGCTGCCGTCAGTCATCCACCTGATGGCGGCACTTTTTGAGTTACAATATGTCGCTGCCATCACCCACCCGATCAGCCGCATCAGCCACACAAGCCATCCTCGTCCACCTCGACCTCGGACAGCAGCGAGTCGCAGACCGCCAGCGAGAGCTGTGACTCCAGCTGCTCGACGCAATCGTTGACACCACCACCAGCAGGAGCACTAGGACCAGCAGAGCCACCAGCAGCGGCTGAGAGTCCACCCACACCCATTCCACCACCGCCACCGCCACCACCGCCGCTCTCAGCTTCAGCTACGTACAATCATTTCCGGGCGACTCACAGTCTGGCGTATTGTCAGGACTGCCTGTCGTCGCCATCGCCCACGCCCACCATCATCACGGAGCAGGCCCAGGTACATGCCACGCCCTCAACGACAGCACCGCCCCACATCGAGCACTGTTCGTGCGGCTTGAGCTTCTCGGTGCAGACGCAGGCCAGCTCCAGCTCCAGTTATGGCTATCAGTTGGAGCAGCAGCACCTCCATTGTCAGCAGCAGCATCATCATCATTATCATCATCATAACCATTATCAGCATCAGCATTAGCATTCGCATCAGTCAGCCGTTACCCATAGAGAGTGAGGATTAGTTTCGTATAACAAGTATTGTGTCGATATTAATTAATACTTTAATCTCAGTTAATTTTAATTTTAATTATTTGCTTCGGTGCCAAATGTTGTAAAAAAAAAAAAAACAAAAACAAAAACAAAACAAAAATTCTATACTAAACGCAATATTTACTAAATATCTCTCTAAATACATATAAATATATCAGTTAGGATTATGTTACGAATGTGGAATTGTCGCTTAAGTTACTAAGCTGCATTAATAAACTGAATAAACTAAATATATATGTATATCTATAAGTTGATCAAGTTGAATAAATTCTATGAATCTAACTATATCTATATAGACAAAGCATATGAAGAATCAAAACGAATTATACCAAAATCTGTAACGCTAATCAAAACAAGGTTCAAGCTAAATTTACACACATACACACACACACACACATACAAATGATAAAATGTGCAATGCAGTTTTTACTTTAATAAACAATTATATATAAAATATACAAAATATATACATACATATACATATATATCTCAACTTTCATAGCTATAATGCATAAAGCCACAATCGTTTTATATATTTTTATCAAAAAAAAAAAAAAAAATACATATAGTGAAGATATCTGCGTAAAATACTCATAATTTATTTAAATGAACAACTAAGCAACAAATAATTAATCCACTTTTAATAGCTCAGAAGCAAACTAGTCAACAACGACAGCGCGACAGCTGTGAACTATGAACTTTTTTGATATATATACATATACCCTATATATATATATATAAATCGAAAAGAAACAAAATATGAATTTATTAGAAATCAATAAAATATAAATAATTTACACATAAATACAAGCAATTTCGTAAAGGTCTCTGATAAGGGAGAGGGTAAAGATTTTATACATATATTAATTTCTATTCATTATGTCTCTACCCTACCACTACTATACCACTTACTATTCCTGTCCGAAGTTGTTTTCTCTTCAATGTAGAGAGAGATAACAGTATTACACTTAAATTCATCAATTTCACAACCGTTAAAAAATGTTTATTGGGTAGATAACAAAATAATATTGCACCTTATTATAATATTGCAACTTTGATAATATTTTCAATTTCGTCAAGCTGGTTAGCTCGCAGCTGTAACTCGCATTTGATTGATTTCGTTGATCAGATGCTTGTTGTATTTCTTGCAGTTGAAGGGAGTCATGGACTGGACGGTCAGCGTACTGATCATCTTGCCGTTGTACAGCTTATTCTTGCAGCTCAATTTAAAAATGTACAATGTGTAATTAATGTCAGTAAAGATTTGTAGAGCTCTAGCCGGATCATTCTCCAAGGCCTCAACAACCTCCTGGGTTGTATGCCTAAGCAACTGCTCGCCGATCTTGCCAAAGCAGATGACCTCACGGTCCGAGGTATAATCACTAATTTTTATCTGTGGCATACACAAATTAAGAAATACTATTCGAATATAGATGAAGGTATACAGTACTCACTTTAACCCTTAAGATATACTTGAAGTTAGGAGATACTGCATCGCAGGATTCGCAGCGGTATAGGCCATCGCCCACATCCACGACCTTTTTGTTGCAGTTCATTTGAGGACACGCTTTATAAAAGGCATTCGTCTGAATGACATTCTGCACTATTGCTATGCATTGGAAGTAGTCTGGCCTGTCACCCGAACCCAGATTTCGAAAGTACGCATCCTTCAGGGTCATCAATTCAACTCTCCGAGCAGAGACTATGTTATCGGCGCCCCCATTATCGAACCAAACACGCAGCTTGTGGGCCTCAGGTATATCTGGATTAATTTTAAGAGTTGAGCCCCAGCCCACGTTAAGGCTCTTCCAGTCGCCGTATTCATTGACACGCGATCCCTTGACCAAGATAACGGACTGCACATGTCCATCGAAATTGACGGCTTCATCGCCCCAGAGCGTTAGAGTGACGGCAGCATTGCTCATATCCACCAGGGTGAGTTCGCGTTTCTTGAACTCCTTGTTGGTTTTAGTCGAAATTCTGATGTCCAATTTGCCCACTTCTGTGCAAATACCAATTGTATTGACGGCTTCCTTATTTCCCATATTCGATACATGCGACAGAGGTATCAGGTCGAACTTTACTTCGGGTATGTCACCATTGTCGTCGCATAGCTGAACCATAGTCTCGCCTATGAAAATCATCTCAAATTCATTTTTCAGTTGGGAATACTGTGTGTTGGCCGGCTTAATCCAACCGTTGGCGATAAAGTAAACATTGCCATCATCGATCAGACTGTGGAATTTATCACACTGGTCCTTAAAAGCAGTTACACGAATCTCACCAGATTTATCAAATAAATTCATGTTAAACAATCTGCCTCCCTTATACGAAAATATGCGCGTCTTACCGCTAACCCGGGCCTTTATAATCCATTTGTGCTTATATGGACTTAGATGGGCAATCGGAATAACTTCTTCATTAATTTGGTTGCAAGATTGATTACTTATCGCAAGAGCAGATACTTCCGGAGCCGTAATCTGCTTAGCCGCATTCTCGTAGGTCACGGGCTCACCTATTTTTGTTTTTACTTCATATTCCGAATTTAGCACTGTTATCTCGTCCACAATAATCTCGGGGCTGCAAACGATCGATTATGGACACATTTACAGCCGAATTCAATTATCTACGTACTCACCGGACACCCCCCCTTCCAGCCATGTCGATCGAGTATTTGTTTAGCCGCACAATTGTGTTCTCACTGAGCAGTCCTCTGTGCTGCATTTTATTCAACTCAGTGGCCAGCAGGACACAGGTATGGTAATATTCGCCATCAGATAAGGTGATGCGATAACGATCCTCATCTGGATTGCCCGTATTTAGTTTCTGAACATTCAGAATCTGCAGAACTGGATTTAATACCTTATCGCCTTGCATCATTCACTGCAATATGAGTCAGATCGTACACTACATTGCATCAAGATTTTTCAAATTGTAGTATGTATACTTACCGTTATTGCACCTTTAGTTAGACTTGCAATCAACGTCATTATAAAATTTGATTCAAATGTATTTTCTATAGATTTTAATATCTTCTTGAATAAAACAAATCTAGTAATCGCGGGAATGTACAATTTAATGAATACCACTGGTCAGTGTGAATACCTAGAGCTCTTACTAAGAGCTTTTGTCGCAGTGTTTTATCAGCTTTAAAAAATACAGCTCTGCGTGATCGTGACTATCGATGGCTGCCTACTATTGGAAATAACTCGTAGACGAAATCGGAGGCCAGCTTGCACATCACTAACAGTGGCAGGAGCTGGAATTAGGAATAAGTCTCCAACCATAACAATTTATGACCAGCTGATCAACATCTCGTCCTTCACTGTCCTGCTAGAAAACCCTGTAATTTTCTATAGCTAAATGAAATGAATAAATATATATATATATATATATATATATATAAATATTTGACCATAATTAAAAATGAAGACAGCTTTAATTATAAATGTTTAAGGTATACACGATTGTGTCCCACTGCATTTATTTCAATTAGGTGCGATATATATAATATTTAAACTTAATTAATTGGCTTAACATACATATTTTCACGAGACGCGCGCTGCACGTGTAGAAGAGCTAGTTAGCAGGTCCAATGCCCGTCATTTCCTTAAGCTCTTTTATGAGATGTTTATTGTATTCCCTGTAGTTGATAGGACTCATGGACTGGACAGTCAGTTTGTTGCGCGTCATGTCACCGTACATCTCATTCTTGCAGCGCAATTTGAAAATGTAAGACGAGAAGTTGATATCGGAGAACATTTTCTCCGCGGTTGCCGGATCGTTCTCTAAAGCATCACCAACTTCCTGAGCCGAGTGCTTAAGCAATTGCTCGCCGACCTCGCTGAAGCAGGTCACCCAACGGTTCGAGGTCCAATCCCCAATGCTCATCTGCAAGGAATCAAGATTAGAAATGAGAGAAATAAAGCTCAATGTATATTTAACTCACGTTAATCAGAAGGCGATATTTGAAGTTGGGAAATGCTGCATTGCAGCGTTCGCAGCGGTATTGGCCATTTCCCTCATCTACGACCTTTTTATTACAATCAGTTTGAGGACACGCTTTGTAGAATGCATTCTCCTGCTTGACAATATGCACAACTGCCTTACATTGGAAGTAGTCTGGTTTGTCGCCCGAACCCAGATTTCGAATGCGAGCATCCTTCAGAGTCACCCAATCAGTGCTGAAGCTGCCACCGCCAGTGCGCGCAGAGACCATGGTGCTTATATTATCGCCGCCTCCATTATCGAACCATCCTCGCAGCTTGTGGGCCTCAGGTATATCTGGATTAATTTTAAGAATTGAGCCGCCGCCCATGCTAAGACTTTTGCCGCCGTTGAATTCATTGATACGCGATCCCTTGACCAAGATGACGGGCTGCACATGTCCATCGAAATTGACGGCTTCATCGCCCCAGAGCGTTAGAGTGACGGCAGCATTGCTCATATCCACCAGGGTGAGTTCGCGTTTCTTGAACTCCTTGTTGGTTGTGCGTGAAGTGAAAGTCTGCAGCTCGCCCACTTCTTTGCAAATGCCTATTGTATCGACGGCTTCTTTGTTTTCCATGTTCGACACTTGCGAAATAGGTATCAGATCGAACTTTATTTCGGGTATGCCACCATTATCGTCTTCGTCGCATAGCTGAACCATAGTCTCGCCGGTGAAAGTCATCTCATAATCATTCTTCAGTTGAGAGTACTGCTTGTTAGCCGGCTTAAGTTGGCACTTGGAGAAGAAGTAGACATTGCCCACCTCGATCAAATCGTAGAACTTATCGCACTGCTCCTTAAAAGCGGTGGCACGAATTTCACCGGATTCGTCCATCAAATCCATACTGAAGAGTTTACCTTCGCCGCGGGCATTGCTCCAGGTGCGAATGGCCGTCTTTGAGGTAACTCGTGCCTTAATCACCCATTTGTTCTGATACGGACTTAGACTGGCAATTGGATGTGTGAGACTGGCATTGAGTGTGCCGTTCATGGTGCTGTTCATGGTATTGTTATTGTTGTTGTTGTTGTTATTGTTGTAAGATTGTTCCTTTTTAACTGGAGCACTTGCTGTAACAGGAGCTGCTTTTGGTACGGTGTCCTGCTTAGCCGCATTCTCGTACGTCACGGGTTCGCCTATTTTGGTTTTCACCTCATCACCGGAGTTCAGCACAGTCACCTCGGTGACAATGAGTACGCGTCTAAGAACAATTGCTCAGATAAACATTTGCAGTCAATTCCAAATTCAATAATCAACTTACTTGCCGGAGCCCTCTTTGCCAACCATGGATGTCATGTACTTGTCCAGACGCACGATTGTGTTCTCGTTGAGCAGTCCCTTGTGCTGCATTTCATTCAATTGGCTGGCCAGCATGGCATAGCTGTTGTAATACTTGCCATCAGACATCAATAACCGAAAGCGTTCCTGATCCGTATTGGTGTTGATCCGCTTGATACCCAGGATTTGCAGCACCGGCTGTGGGACATCCTCGCCGTGCATGATGCGCTATAAGGAACGCCGGTTCAGTTATTGCAACAGAAACACCTTTAATTAATAAATTATTACCGCAATCACGCCTGTGGTAAGACTAGCAATCGGCATTATATAGTTTAATTACGATAGGATTTTCTGCCAAAAAAGAAACAATTACAGTTATTGCGAAATGCAGCGCAGTTACAATCTGTGTGATGCCCGAAGTGGCGGGAATAGTAATGTGAAAAGCTTTAATCGATATGCTTTTGTGTACAGATACCATCGATAAAAATGCAACCCTGTGAGTTTCAAATATCGATAACTTATTGACCGCAGCACTAAAGAAAAGTCATCGCAGGCTGAACTGCAGGCCCGTCGTGCTCGTTTCTGTCGTACTTGTTTCGTTTGCAAATTTAAAAAAGTTGCTTACCGTATGGATATATAGTAGCATATGGTTACAAAGTCATCAGTAACTAAATTGAAAGCGCGACTGCTGAAAAAAGTGTGTGAAAACAATGAAGAAATCTAGCATGAAATTTTCAGCTGCCAATACGAAGCAAATCACAAAGAGCAAATAAAAGAAACAATGAGCGAGCGAAACAGCAGTACTGTGTGATAGCTAGTGCAACTCTTCTTTCCAAATAAAACAAAACAAATGAGAAACAAAGGATAGAAACCCCGAAAACTCCGCACACTCACACGCACACCAATACATACAATAGGAAGAAGAGCAGATGATGAAGCAGGCAAAAAACTGTCCAATAAACGACAATAAAGTTTACAAAATGTTTGAGTATATACTATTATTTAAGTAAAGTGCTTTATCGAAAACGTAATTGTGAACACAATGCCCACATTGAAGTAATGCATTCGAACTGCAAGTGAAAGGAGAAAATCCATTGCCATCGGCTCATTTAACTGTCTGTGTGGCTGTGTGTGTATGTGTGTCTGTGCCCGTGCCAGTGCGAGTGCTTCAGTGTGTGTGAGTGTGGAATTAAAATTGGGTTTGGGGTTGATAAATTGTGAAAAGTGTTAAACGCCACAGAACTTTTTCCCCTTTACCGCAAGCATTTCCATACAAAAATAAAATAAAAAGGGTATAGCTAAAAATGCCCAGCGCCTCGTTTACATCATCGCGCACCTATGTGCGCCGCTCCAGACGAAAAGGAGCCAATCGCATAGCCATGCCAAATCGTCCCACGGGCAACATAATGGATCCCATGCTGCAGCAGTCAGTGCACGCACAGCAAAACAATACTGCAGCAACGAGCACAGCCTCTGCAACAGTAGCAGCAGCATCAGCAGCAGCGGCTGCTGCAGCATCAGCTGGAAGTAGCAATAATTCAAACAGTAGCAGCAACAACAACAACAACAACAATACTGCTCCCAGCAGCAGCAATGCCGCGGAATACTTTGATAGTGGTCAATCTACGAGTAGCGCGGCTGCTGGATCCTCCGCTGGCCTCAATCAAAACCCGTGCATGAGTAACATCTACAATTCTGTGCAGATCATGGACACCTCCGATAGCAACTCAACACTGGCCAGCACCTCGTCGGCCGCTGGTCCCAGCAGCAGCAACAGCAATAGCATCACCTGCAATTCCAATTTTCCCAGCACATCGGCTGCCAGTCAGGGCAACAGCAGCAACACTAGCAGTAACAGCAGTGGCAACAGTAGCAGTAGCAGCGCCTCCTGTTGCCATCAGTCGCCATATGATCTGCGTCGCAAGATATCCGCCGTGAGTAACCATGATCAGTGGTGCTCCTCCGGCTCTAGCACTGGCCAATCTGTGGCCATTATGGTGGGTCCATCCAGCAGTTCGCCGCCATTACTCAACCCCAGCAATTCACCTGCCTGCTCCTCATCGGCATCGTCGGCTTCCAATTCATCATCGACTTCGTCGTCGCCATCGGCCATTGTACAGGCGCCCTCAACCAGCGCCACCTTTCCCGTAAGCAATGCGCCCACAACAGGTGCCACGCTCGCGCAGCCCCCGAATGTGCACAGCTCTGTGCCGCAGCAGCAGCACTGTGGCGCCTTGCCCGTGGGCGGGGCTGCAGCGGTAATTGAGGAGAATAATTATATGCTGCCGGCACGCAAGCGCTCACGCCGCCTTTACACGCAGAGCGGGGAGACGGACACGGCGGCAGTGCCCAGCATGGATGCGGGCAGTGGAGGCAGTGCGGCCAGCGGTGCTGGACCCACAGCTGCGCAGTATTTGCAATATGAGCTGGCCGATGAGGTGCTGCTGGCCATATTCTCCTACCTGCTGGAACAGGATCTGTGCCGTCTGGCGCTGGTCTGCAAGCGCTTCAATACCATTGCCAACGACACGGAACTGTGGAAGCGTCTGTTTCAGTCGGTGTTCGAGTACGATTTGCCGCTCTTCAATCCCGAGCTGTGCAAATTTGTGTTCGAGAAGCCCGAGGAGTCGGAGTATGCCAATCCTTGGAAGGAGAGCTTCCGCCAGCTGTACCGCGGCGTTCATGTGCGCCCCGGCTATCAGGACAGGCGCCAGCCCGGACGCAGCATCGTCTTCTTCAATACCATACAAGCAGCTCTCGAGCCGGCCTTTGCCGCTGGCTCCAATGCTGGCGCTGGCGCTGGCAATCTCTCTGCCGGTCTCTCGAACACCACCAGCAGCACCGGCACCGGCAATGGTGGAGTTGGTGCTGGGGGAGGCGGTGCCAGTGTCAATGCTCTGGCCAATATATACGAGGAGAATGTGCCACCAGCCGAGCATCCAGGCCCATTAATATTCCTGCATGCCGGCCACTACAAAGGAGAATATCTATTCATTGACTCCGACGTAGCACTCGTCGGAGCAGCACCCGGCAATGTGGCCGAGTCGGTGATACTGGAACGCGAGGCAGGCTCCACTGTTATGTTCGTGGAGGGTGCCAAGTACGCATATGTGGGCTATCTAACGCTCAAGTTTTCCCCGGAGGTCACCTCAACGGTGTCGCATCACAAGCACTATTGCCTGGACATTGGCGAGAATTGTTCGCCAACTGTGGACAACTGCATCATACGCTCCACATCGGTGGTGGGAGCCGCTGTCTGTGTGGGCGGCGTCAGCGCCAATCCCGTTATACGTAACTGTGACATCAGCGACTGCGAAAACGTCGGACTCTACGTGACGGACTACGCCCAGGGCACCTACGAGCACAACGAGATCAGCCGTAATGCCCTGGCCGGCATTTGGGTGAAGAACTTTGCCAGCCCCATAATGCGTGAGAATCATATACACCATGGACGCGATGTGGGCATATTTACCTTTGAGAATGGCATGGTATGGGCTTAAACATATGAATATGTATCTATGATTTGCATATAGCTGAAATAGTTATTCACCTTAAGCTTCTATAATTGCCGTTTAATTATTATAATTGTTATTTCAGGGTTATTTTGAGAAGAACGATATACACAACAATCGCATAGCTGGCTTTGAGGTCAAAGCTGGCGCCAATCCCACAGTGGTCAAGTGCGAGATTCATCATGGTCAGACGGGCGGCATCTATGTGCATGAGAATGGACTGGGACAGTTCATTGAGAATCGAATACATTCAAATAATTTTGCGGGTATGTGAAGCTATGATTACTAATAACAAACTTTCGATATCGATAATAGGCAAGGAAATTATAAAATATTATAATAGAGAAAACCTTTAGGTGAATATAGTTAAGTGATACAGCTCTTTGATTTATGGATTACGCTTTTATATTTACTTTCGAAGAAAGTGTTTCGAAATGATTACTAAACTGCAGTCAAATTAATTAATCGATAATGTAAACTGTGTTTCTATTCCAATAATGCGAATTTAATTTCTGAAATAATATTGAAATTTCTATTGACCACTTAGTTAAGTGATCGATAATCGTTTTGATATACATCTCTCATGTTTTCGATAACCAAATGTGTGGCTAATTCAAATTCAATTTATCTCTTCAGGTGTGTGGATAACATCGAACAGCAATCCAACCATACGCAAGAATGAAATCTATAATGGCCATCAGGGCGGCGTCTATATCTTTGGCGAGGGACGCGGCCTCATTGAGCATAATAACATCTATGGCAATGCACTGGCTGGCATTCAGATACGCACGAACAGTGATCCGATAGTGCGGCACAATAAGATTCACCATGGACAGCATGGGGGCATCTATGTGCACGAGAAGGGCCAGGGGCTGATTGAGGAGAATGAGGTGTACTCGAATACTTTGGCCGGCGTGTGGATAACCACGGGCAGCACACCAGTGCTGCGACGTAATCGCATACACTCCGGCAAGCAAGTGGGCGTCTATTTCTATGACAACGGACATGGCAAGCTGGAGGATAACGATATATTCAATCATTTGTACTCGGGTGTGCAAATACGCACGGGCAGCAATCCGGTGATACGTGGCAATAAGATCTGGGGCGGCCAGAATGGCGGCGTTCTGGTCTACAACGGCGGCCTGGGTCTGCTTGAGCAGAACGAGATCTTTGACAATGCCATGGCTGGCGTGTGGATCAAAACCGACTCGAATCCCACACTCAAGCGCAACAAGATCTATGATGGACGCGACGGCGGCATATGCATCTTCAATGGCGGCAAGGGCATACTCGAGGAGAACGACATCTTTCGGAATACGCAGGCGGGCGTGCTGATCTCAACGCAATCGCATCCGATACTCAGACGCAATCGCATCTACGACGGACAAGCAGCTGGCGTGGAGATAACAAACAATGCAACAGCCACGCTGGAGCACAATCAGATATTTAAGAATAAGTTCGGTGGCCTGTGCCTGGCCAGCGGTGTGCAGCCGATAACGCGCGGCAACAACATATTTAACAACGAGGATGAGGTGGAGAAGGCGGTGTCCAGCGGCCAATGCCTTTACAAGATTAGCAGCTACACATCCTTTCCCATGCACGACTTTTATCGCTGCCAGACCTGCAATACAACGGATCGGAATGCCATATGTGTCAATTGCATAAAGAATTGTCATGCAGGACATGATGTTGAATTTATACGACACGATCGGTGAGACGACTCAAAATATATTTATACTTACATGAGTATTTCATTAATCGAATTCCGTTTGATTTCGCAGTTTCTTTTGTGATTGCGGTGCCGGCACCTTATCCAATCAGTGTCAGCTGCAGGGCGAGCCCACGCAGGACACGGACACGCTCTATGACTCGGCAGCGCCCATGGAATCGCACACACTGATGGTTAACTAGGGCAGTCGCAGCATCAGCATCATCGATAAAAGCACTCTAATGGTATTTTATATATTCAATTAAGCTCTCAACTGTTTAGACTCTAAGACGTTCGCTAATTCGCCCTCTCCCACAAAATTGTGTTGCTGTACATATTCACGAAGACACACACAAACACATATACTCACACACTTACCCGCCTAGAGATACACACACACACACACACCCACGCCCTCAATAATACAAACCATTGTATATAAATAATAATTAATCTGCGTTCAAAATTTAACTCAATGTGCAATTTAGTTTAAACTTTAAACCAACTCAAAATACAAATTATGGAAATGCTTCGACACCTGTCCAATGTCCACACAATCTGTCACAACGAAACAAAATACATTTTCAAAATAATGCATTTCTTTTTGTACAAGAAACGAGAATGTTGATGAAATGAAGAAACGATATGATACGCTAAAGGGTGATAAAGGTGTACGAGAAACCAGAAAGAAAGCCCAGTGAAGAAAAAACGATTTTGTAATGTAGCTAAGTAGTTTTTTTAATTCCAACTAAAAACTAAAACAAAATGAAATGTTTTTTAAGCCGACAACAAACAACAAATTAGAAAACAAACTAAAAACTCTAACAATACGAAAAGCAATTTTAAGTATTAATAACAAATTAGATAAACGACAGCAGCCGCTTTTTTGCTTTAGCAACAAAACTAACAAGCATACAAATATAAATATAAACATATGCATACACATATAAACATAAACCTAAACATATACATATACATAAACATAAATATATATATATATATATATATATATATATATATATATATATATATATTTATATATCAAAATATATATATTTAATAACCTATGCATAAATACCGTTTTCAGAATCAAAAGCGTTTAAAAGCATCCAATAATGAGCAATATTTCATGTCTAAATGTTAAAAAACAAGTAATAATACTTATAATAATAATATAAAAAAAAACAGCGTAAAGCTTAACGAATATATATATATATATATATATTTGTGTCATTTTAGCAACTTAAGCTTAAACAACAACAAAATGAACTGTTTCGGTTTGCGACAAGTATTCAAAGTATTCGAATTATGCAAACTAATTATTTTAACTATAATCGATATTAGTAAGTAGCATTATATACTACATATATATATGAAATGAATATATATGTACATCGTGTATGTTTGTAGAGCTACACAGCAACTAGTTTTATATAAATACATATACATATATACATATATATGCGCAGCGTAGATCAGTTTAATTTTTTGATAAAATTCATTGACTAATTTGTGCGTTTGCATTTTGTTTATTTTTTTTAAGAATTAACTAGTTTTGTTTGCACTATTTTCTCTGCTAATATTTTGATATAATATGTTGCCAATGTGTTTTAGTTATGTTACATTTTCGCGATTCGCTTGTTTTTACATATTTTTAGTTTTGCATAAATCAAACAACTTTAAAGCTGATCAATTTAAGGATAAAAAAAAAAAAAACATAAAAAAAATGAAACAAACCATATGCTAAACATACATATTTTACTTATCTAAATATAGGAAAAAACAACACAAACACACACAGACACCAACACAAACATATTTCAAGTATATAAGCGTATTTACTAACAACAAAAATATATATAAAATAATAGCGTTGTGCAGACCTACGATATACACATATATATGCATATATATATGTGTGTGTATTTGTATTTGTATTTCGATGTAAGAGCAAAAGAGCAACGACAATTTTGAATTGTAAAACATACAGACCCAAGCACACACACACACACACACACACACACACATACATACACACTCAGACACACCTATATTATGTAGAAATGAATTTTAATGTGTTACCTACGCATCGTCGTCGACTTGGACTCACAGACAACAAACTAATTATACATATACCAGGTATAAGCTAAAATTATATTTGAAATTATTTCACAAAAAAAAAAAAAAAAGAAAAGAAAAACAAAACAAAAATTATTGCAGTTTATTTATTTAGTATACATATATAGATAGTATAGTATGTACATATATACATATACAGCCGTCATAAAAATCGTAGTCCAACTAATCGTAAAATATTGGCCATCAAACCTTAATGATGAATTTAATATCAGCATCTGGATTAATAACAATCCTAATATTAATTTATATTCTACTATTTTTATGACTACAGCCTTAAGTTCAACCCTCGCAGTTCAAGCCGTCTAATTTGAAAGTCAACAAGTTAAAAATTTTTTTATTGCAACTTAACAGTTTTTGTCTGCAGACAGCAGGGCGACAATGTTACAAAAATTGCCTGCTTTAGCATATTGTATGGCACACAGGCCAAGACAGTCCTTGGCACTGGGATTGCGATAGTAGGGCAACAGATACTTAACCACATTTATCTCGCCCAGCTGGCTGGCATGGTGGAGCGCTGTGCGACCGCTGCCATCCGCCACCTCGAGATCGGCGCCGGCCAAGCGATATGACTCCAAGCGATCGACATTCCCATCTTCAGCGAGTGAGCGCAGCTTCTGGGCCAATTCCAATGGGCCTTCTGTGAGGGTGGCGCCCTTCTTTAGCAATATCTCAATCAGTTCATGATTGTCCGCATCGATGGCCTCGTGCAGTGGCGTTCGATTGAATCGATCGGTCAAATCCACTGGGCTACCATCTTTTAGTAGGGTTCCGACGCACTTTTTCTTGCCCAGAAAACAGGCCAGATGCAAAGCCGTCCGCCCCTCTGTGTTCGTATCGCTCAGATTGGCGCCGTATTGCTTCAGATTTGTCAGTTTATGTGGATTGTCCTCTCGGATGGCTGCTTCGACGAGCGCTGGAAAGAATGTGGCACACATTTCACCGCGTTTCTTGTCTTTGGAGACTTGGAGATTTCGTGCCACGCCTTCGATGAAATCGACTTCAACGCTTTTAGCTGACGTTGGTATGGTTAATTCGCCGCGCAAACTTTGTTCCATCTTTTCCTTCTTAACGTCCACGTCCCACTCCTTTTTTCCCAGCACATAGGACAATTTGGTTAATGCTGCCTCCTGAGTCATATCGTAGGCACAGACCACGCCCAATTCCATCCAATTGGACGTTAAATGTTGGGGCATCACTTTGCCATTGGAACATTGCGTCATGTTCACAACCACAATACCACGAGAAATCGCATCGGAGATGACATCCGACAGCTTATGATCATTGGTTGGTATATTGCCGATGCCGTAGCTCTGTATGACAACGCCCTTCATAGGGGGATTGAAGAAGCTCTGCATCACCTCGACTGAGATGCCTGGATACAAACGTAGCAGGCTGACATTCGGCTCCATTTCAGTGAATACCGTGAACGGACCTGAATTGTTCGGCTGAAATATGTTTTTGTTGTCGATGTCGATATTAACGCTACATGTGCCCAGTGCCGGGGCATTGGGCGAATCGAATGCGTGAAAGGAGTTGTTTGCTCTCTTAGTGCTGCGGCAGCCCCGCAACACTTTGTGGCCAAAGACCAGAATCACCTCGGGCAGATCAAAGTTGCCAGCGATCAGCAGCGATGTAACAAAATTGTTCCGGCCATCTGTGCGCAACTCAATGATGGGCAACTGGCTGCCGGTTATTATAACGGGCTTGGTAAGATTCTCCAGCATAAATGCGAGAGCTGAGGCAGTAAACGCCATGGTGTCTCTGCCGTGCAGTATGATGAAGCCATCGTAGCGTTCGTAATTATCCTGCAAGCAAAAAGATTAACGCAAATAGAAAGTTTTGAGTTTTTGAGAATTATGCGTACTTCCACTTCTTTGGCCAAGTGCACCCAATCATCCAAATGTATAGAGCTGGAGTTCATCAATTGCGTAAACTCGACTATATCATAAATCACACGATATTGCGTGTCATGAATCCATGGCAGGACCAAAGGCGAGTTTTCGCCTCGCTCGAAGGGCAGTTTGTAGTCTTTGTCGTGAAAGCTGGTATCTTCGCGCAGTCGTTTAATGAGTTCTCCGCTAACGTTTTGCAAAGCTGACGACAAACGAGCCTTTTTAAATATTGTTTAAATCTATTGGATATATTACACTTACACCCGTCTTCCATCCGCATCATGCCAATGCAACCGCCAGTGTAGATGACAAGGATTCGTGATTCTTTACTATGCGCACAGCGACATGATGAGTTTGCCATTCCTGCCTACTGTCACGTTACGTTAACTGAATTTTAAATTTTGTTTTTCCAAAACTTAAGTAATAAATTCTTACTTGTAAGTGACATTGCTTTCAAAAGATTAAATTTCTGAAAAATTCAAATGAGATAGCGTTGCCAGACGATCACAAAGACAACAATTTTCGAATAAATGTGTTATTTAGTGTCAATTGTTATTTTGTATGTTTAAACGGTATAGCTTGATACTGACCATGGATTCATAAAGCAGTAAAAATTTAAACAGGGTGTTACTAATTTGACAGTTTGTGGATTCTTTAATTTTAGTAGAGGGCGCCACTTCATTAATTTAAATAATCTGGTGCTCCCAGATGTATACCAGCAATGAATGTTATTAACATAAAATATTCTCTGTTAAGCAACATTTTCGTCGAGATGCCAAACGAACGGTTGTGTGACCATATTTATAAACATGATATTATATGTGTAAACATTCAGACCTGTGCCTGTGTGTGTGTGTGCACATGTGTAAACAAATTGATCCGGCTATCGCTTATGCCGGGGCCAAACAAATAATTTTCAAAGAATAATAGCGTAAACTTTAATATTTACCGAGAACTGTGCGAAATCGTGAAAATGAGTTTACAATTTACCTGGCGATCACAGTTACTCTCGTGTGTATTGAGTTTATACAGCAGATCTATCAGTGCGCTTAGGATCGCTGCCAATAAGCAATCGTGACGTCACGTGCTTCTTCTTAATGCGAGCGACGCACACCTGCAACGATCTTGAGCCACTGCCATGCGGCCGACCGCTAGAGATGTCCAGGAATGAGGCAATGAGGAATTTTCTGTAACCGTAAGGACAAGGAACTTGATGACATTTTAATTAAGATGCACAACCCAACAATTTACCGTTTGTCATTAATTAATTAGAGCAACAACAACAATGGACTGATGCGAACAGTTGTTGCTAATGTCTGCCAAAAAAACAAAACAAAGCGAAATAAAACGAAATCAAAAAATAAAACAACTACAGAAAAGAACGAAGCCACAGCATGCAACAGCAGCAACATCAACGGCCCAGCAGCAGCAGCAATAACGGCAACAAATTATTTGCTAGAATTGAGCAATTTGCTAGTTCTGCGTTGCGTATAGGCAATATTAAAAATAAAGTACGAGCGCCCAGCGAAACGGCAAGAGCAGATCACCTTGTCTAGAGATCATCCATTCGGAAGATGAACAAACGCGGCATTATCATTCTGTGCATCATTGCCACGCTGCTGTGCATTGTGCTCGGCGCGAACTTCTACTTCATGTACTATCTCAACGCCGAGGAGGGTCAGCTGGCGAGCGTGCGTGCGCTGGAGAACATGATCCGGCACAAGATACGACATCTGAAGCCAGCGTATCTAAATCGCAATCCTCGCTTCTTCATGTTCCGCAACAAGCTGCTGAAGAACTACAAGCAGGCCAATTACGAAAATGCCAGCGTGCTCTGGGAGATAGCCAACTGGGTGAGTCCACATACATATATAGTATATATCTATGTAACAATATGTGAACAATGTTTGCTTTTCGCAGTGGCCACACGAAAACGAGATATATCCCTTGTACGACTCCTCAATGGGCCAGCTGCTGAAGACGTTGCGCGACGAGCCCATCACCAGGGCCAGTAATTTGGCACGGGGCACACAGCTTAAGCTACTGCTACGTCTAAGCCAGCAGCAGAAGGTAATCTTCAAGCCGCAATGGTATCCACGTGACGTGGTCATAGAGGGCGTCGTCTATAGCGGCAAGGATCGCCATGTAGCCGAGGTGTATGCCTTCTATTTGGGCGCTGTGCTCGACTTGCGCTGGACGCCCATCGTGGTCGGTCGCGTGGTGAATCTCAAAACTGAGATCTACGCCCACGGCGACCAGGAGCTGCAGAACACCATCAAAATTGAGGTGGATGAGGAGGGCAAGGAGACATACTGCCTGTATGGCAGATGTCACTACTGCAACGAGGAGGAGACTGTCTGCGGCGATGAGCAGCACAATATCGAGGGCGTCATCATCTACATTGTGCCGGGCACGCTGGCCAAGCGGCGTTCACCCTGGCAACGCACCTACAAGGAGGAGAAGCGCGCCATTTGGGAAGATGATATGACCTACTGCAAGTAAGAGGAGCTAAAAATCAACTTTACCCAGATATTCCAGCTCATCTCATTCCATTTCGCAGATCTCTCAAGAACAAGATGGAAACAATGCGACTGTTGGACCTCATAGATGTGGCCATCTTTGACTATCTGATACAGAATGGAGATCGTCATCATTACGAGACGCGCGAAGAGCGCGTGGTGCTCATTGACAATGGCAAGGCGTTCGGCAATCCCAACAAGGATCATCTGGATATACTGGCACCGCTCTATCAGTGCTGTCTGTGAGTTTGAATCCTGATTATAATTGGTAAACTTGTATTTACTTCGGAACCCCTTTCCCAGCATACGTAAATCCACATGGGACCGTCTACAAGTATTCTCGGGCGGCGTTTTAACCGAAATCGTCGATCGTCTGTCCAAACAGGATGCTCTCTATCCGCTCATCACGGACAAGCATAAACGTGGCGTTGAGCGCAGATTACTCGTGGTGTTCGCTGTAGTGGAGTACTGCATGGACAAGGAGGGTGACAAGATGTTCAAGACGCTCTAGTTCCAGTTACAGATTAGCTAAGGTCTAGGTTGTTATTAGGTTTAGTAATTCAAGTGCCCAAATACACGTATTCTATCTATAGTTATATAGCGATTGCTTAAAATGCTTCAAATGAAAGAGAATGTTTCAACGGCTTTTCCAGATCAATTGTTAAATTTAATGTTACAATCCACTTGTAACTATTAGTTTTATTTAAAGTTAAGATTGTTGCCTAGTTTAAACAGAATACAAACTGAAAGAAAACAAAACTAAATATTCTGAATGCAGTTTAAATAACCGCATATGTCGGTCTGTTGATCGGGTCGAATGGTTCAGATTTTCTTTCTCATTTACTTCTTTCTCTCTTTATTAATTTTGCTGAAAGTGAACAGTTTATTAAACTGTTTGTTGTTCCGATTGTTGGGTCGATTCTGCAATAGATTTCAAATGATTTATATAATTTATTATTTTCAGTTTTTACGATTCAATCCACCAAACATACCTTGCCGCGTGTTTGTGATTTAATTTCTGTGCCCTGCGCACGCTTAGCACCGCCTTGAAATTGTCGGAAGTCGACGTTCTTATAGTCAAAGTTTTGCACCGCTGCACTGTTGGGGGGCAGTTGTACGGGTCTATTGGAGCTTTGTTGTTGCAGGCGTTGCTTGGCCTTGAATCGGTTGTTCTTCTCCTGGCGTTTCTGCTGGCGCTTGCTGAGCACAGGTGCTGGAGTCTCCGCGGGACTTCTCTCGATGGGAACTTCAGTCACATCGTCGTCATCATCGTCATTATCAACTTCTATTGTGTTTTGTTGTGATTGGTTAGTTATTGTTTCGGCCCCGGACGTCGAAGCACTTGGCTTCTCCTCGCTCTTGCTGCGTTTCGCTTGCGTGGATGGCTCCGTTGCGGGCTGTTTGCGTTTGAGTTGCTCTTTCAGTGGTAGACTCTGTACGGGATCCTCTTCCACCTTTGGCTCGATTTCCAGCTTGATGTCCACCGGCGCTGGTTCGGCGGGGCACAGACGTCGCTTGAGCAGCTCATTATTCTCCTTTGCGGTCTGCTCCAACTTCTGCTGTTGCATGAGCGGCAGTATAGCCACGTAGCGCTTGTAGGGCATGCGCATTGTCTGACTCTCTTGGCGGCCGCGCATCCAACGCATCTGCTCCTCCTGTGAGGGCTTCGCTGGCCTTTTGAATAAAGATAGGGCCGGTGCTATTAGGGGCACCGTAGGTACCTCTAATTTTGGCTTCTTTGTATGTATTAATTTGCCCGTGGGATTACGACTAAGCAGCGTTGGCAAATCATCGCGTGTCTCCTCCACATGCGAAAAGTCAAGAGGGCAATTCAGTTTGCTGCTGAAGTCCTTGTTGCTCGGTGACAAGTTCAAGGGTGCAATATGTCGTGCTTCCAATATGGGCTGTAAGTGAGAAGATATCAGAGTAAAGTCTAGACATTGAAGTGGGGATTCACTCACTTTGATCAAAGGCTGTTCCCGCGCCCGCAACACAATTTGATGCAATGTGTTCAGCTGCTGGCGCACCAAGGGGGGAATTGGATTGCAGCAGGCCAATATGCCCTGCATTTCACGAGGCAAACTTTCGGCTATTTGTAACATCATATGATTGGGCAGCACATAGCCGTAGCTTTCGTCTTCCTGGCGAGCGGTCGAATCGCGCCACACAAAGATGCCGCGCAGAGCATGTAGCTGGCGATTGTCAAAGGAGCGCTTCGTCTTGCGCACTAGATCCAGATGCGAATCCGGTCCGATGTGCGGCTTGGTGTAGCGCTTCTTGCAAACGTCTGTGCTCATCTGATAGACCATGCGCAAGCCCTGTAGTCCCTGCTCGGATTGCAGCAGATCGTTCGTGAGGCGCTCGTATATATAGATGAGATAGTGGGTGTCTTGGCGTGCATAGTCAATCAGTTTCTGCGGCAGCGGGCGCATGCGCCAGTCTGCCAACTGCAGGCTCTTATCAACATCCAGATCCAGGTAATGCTTCAGCAGAAATGCCAGCGAAAGTCGGGCCATGTTCAAGGCCTTGGCTGCCCGATGTGTATCAAACATGTTGACGATATATAAAGATAGATCGCGTTGCAGCCATTCGATATCGAGATCTGCCCCATGCAATATCTTGAGCACCTTGGGATCGGTGAGAACGAGATTTAGGATGTGCATCTCCTCGCGCAACTTCAGCGTATCGAATATATAGTCCTTGGTGCGTGTTGACATCTGCACCAGGCATGTGATGCCCATAAAGGTGCGGTATGAATGATGCTCCACATCGATGGCTATTTGGGACGCTTTACGCAGCTCAGTCAGTGCCTGCTGCAGTGCATCCACACTGTCCACTAACATCAGTTCAGTTTGGGCTGGCGGTGCCGGCAAGACGGGCTTTTGCTTTTGCAATTGCTCACTGGGCGGCTCAAATTTCAACAGCTCAAACTCATACGGATGTAGGAAGGACACCACGTTGCCAGTATCATCGTATTCGGGCAACAGTGCCAAGGGCTTCAACGAATTGGGCTTCTCTGTAAGACGTGGTCGGAAAGGATTCTGGGCGCTATTGTCTACGGGCACCTTAAACTGCATTTGGGGGCGCATTATATTCTGTGCCGTAAACAATCGTGCCGAGACCGTGTTACGCGTTGGTGTCCCGGGAGTCGTGCTGCAGCGATTCCAGCTGCCAGCACGTGGTGATTCTTTTGTTACAGTCGAGGGTTTTGCGGCACGCGATGTGGATTGTACATCGACCTGGGTTTCGACAACCACGGGCTGGTTGCCTCGTCTTAGGCCGCTCCTTATGTCTAAGTTGGTTGTGATACGTTCGAATAAAATATCATTGTATTCCTGTACCATTTCCAGTTGCTCATCGCCTTGACGCCTGTGGGTATTTTATTAGATTTGCATGTGAATGTAAATGAAATAGAAGTTTACCGTCTAATATCGCCTGATATATTTTCCGTCTTTAAAACCTTGTTAATCAATCCCAGCACTCGCTGTGACTGCTCCTCCAACATGCGCGCATACCCGGGATAACTCATGTAAACCGAGCGGGCTGCGCCCTGTGGGAGGGTATTACAAATGCGTGTGGCAGCCACAACATTGCGATATGCATCCTAGATAATAGTGAATATGAGACTTTGCAAATATCTTATATCAAATATCATACCCTTACCGTTGTAAAGCTTGGTATGTCCCTGGGATCAGAGCTGGCTTGAGATGTTGACGGTTGGGGAGCGGCATCTTCTTTAGACTGTTCTGGTTCCGTCGGATTTTTTCGTTTTGGTGGCTGTGGCATTGTGTTGGGTATAGCGTAATGAATAATTTTTGAAATTGTGTGAACTTTTATATTTTATTTGTTTGCTGGTTGGGTACAAAGAAATGTGCGTTTTTCTTCTTCTTCCGAAAGAATTAAAAACACCGATAATTTAGGGTTGTCAACTACTACCAGCGGCAAATTTTAATTACTCATTGAAATGCAAGACTATTGAAAACGATCCAATTCGAGCTGGCCATACAAATTTACAGAGAAGAAAATTATAAAAAATTGACTGAGAGATTGAAATGATTTCGACAACATATTCGACCGCATCATGTTTTAAATGTGTTAAATGTTTGGACTGGTCTCAGTAATGTCGTCACTAACAAATGGAATATCGAAACTATCGAAATCGTTGCGTTCTCTAACTTGTCTACAGTTCCATCGATGTTTATGTGATAATCGAAATCCCAGCGTTAGCCGCCAGAAAATAAAACCGTAATTATAAAAAAATTATCTATTAAAACTACGTACAGCCATCCCATACATAACACTACCCAACTCCCCGTACTGCATCATCATGCTGGATCTGTACAGGCGCGTTGTGGCTCGCTTTCCACTTGGCAATGTCAGTTACATGTTCGCCTACGGCTCGGGCGTCAAACAGCAAATCGGCTATGAAAAAGTGGACGAGAAGCCGAATTCGAAAAGTGTCATCGACTTGGTATTTTGCGTACGTGACACTCAGGGCTTCCATGCGGAGAATATACACCGGCATTCCAGTCACTATTCGGCATTATGCCATCTGGGCGCTAACCTGGTGGCTCAGTATCAGGAGATACTCGGCGCCAGGGTTTATTTCAATACACTGGTGCCACTGCATGACCTAGGAGTGACTATTAAATACGGCGTGGTACATGAGGATCATTTGATTGATGATCTAATCAATTGGCGGCACCTTTACTTGGCCGGGCGCCTTCAAAAACCCGTCACTGATCTCATAAAGCTCGATGACGATTCACGTCTTAAAACCGCCTTGGAGAAAAACCTGCGGTCAGCTTGTCAGACGGCACTGCTGCTGCTGCCCGAGAAGTTTACCGCCTACGATCTGTTCTATGCCATTGCCGGGCTAAGCTACAAGGGCGACTTTCGTATGATTTTTGGCGAGAATAAACGGAAGGTGCACAACATAGTTCAGCCGCAAGTCCATGAGTTCTTCACGCTCTACCAGCCCATGATGAAACAGTTGTCGCAGTACATGGCCGTAGATTTGCATGGCCAGGCGCCGGGCTCGCGGAAACCGGCCATTGTGTTCGAGCAGGATAAATCTGGCGAAGCTACTCGATATCATCTGCGCCATTTGCCTAAGGAGCTGTGCCACCGATTGAAGCGCAATGCTGCATGCCGTGGAGATTATACAGATGTGGTGGACTATCTAGCCGTAGCCCCACTGCTCCCAAAGATCGTCCAGGTGTCGGTGAACGACATTGTGTGGCGCAGCAGCATTAAACAATCGCTGAAAAATATTGCCACTGCAGGGATTATAAAGTCGCTCGTCTACAGTTTTCGCAAGGCACAGAAGACATTTGCAGTCTAAAGTATTTATCTCATCTGCTCTAAGTTAAACTCTAGCTGATTTTTCCTGCCAATTATTGACTGAGTTGCGCTAGATTGTGCTAACTTTCTGTTAATTAATTTTAAGCCCCAAAGTTGTTGACATCAATAGAGAATGTGTAGATTACAAAGTAGAACCTTTGAGTTTTCATTGCCCGTAATTGAAAAATGTTTTACAGAAGTCCATATGACCAGCGATTCGAGCAGCTCCAGCGATGAGGAGCACCGGCGCAAGCGCAAGCATAAAAAACATGGCAAGGAAGCTGATAAGAAGCATAAGAAATCAAAGAAGCACAAGCATGAAAAGCGCCATAAGGAAAAAAAGCGGGAGGCTTCGCCAGGAAAGGAGCAATTACATCAGGAACTGCCCACAAGGAACACTGGAGATGCATCTGCGGATGCTGATGCAAATGCTTATATGCCCGCACTGCCACCACACTTAATGAAACAGGAAAAGCTAGAGCCGCAGCCAGAGCCAACTCCGATTATCGGTCCCGTAAGGCCCAGCCAGTTTGCCGCAGTTGAGGAAGATTCTCCTCACAAAACTGAAGCAGCTGAAGATGATGATGATGATGATCTGACGGGCACGTTTGGACCCATTCCAAATGCTACACAGGTCGAGCTGGAGGAACGTGCACTGACCATGAAGCTGGCTGCGCTGGAAGGCGGCGGCTTGGGCGGCTCTACAGCAGATCAAGAATTGCGAGAAGAGTGGATGCTGGAGCTGCCCGAGGTGGGTCTGAAGAGCGGTCTGGCCGCTCTAAACAATATGAAGCGCACCTTCTATCAGGGTAAAGAGCGACCGGATTTCAGTGATCGCAGCTCCTGGACGAAGACGCCGCAAAGTGCGGCTGCTGGTCCAAAACCCTGCAGTTCCAAAGATTTGGAGCAAAAGGCGAAGGCAAACTATGAACGTCAGCGCGATGAGGAGCAAGAGTCCATTGCTAAGAAACACAAGAAGAAGCACAAACGAGATGAATCCCTTGTTGAGCTGCATCAGAAGAAACTGCGTAAGGAGCAGCGCCAGCGGGTAAAAAGCGAACTACATATATCAAAGAAAATTCTCGAAAGTTCTAGTCCATATTTTTGCTTTCAGGAGAAGGAACTGGCCGCCAGCGGCTCCAAACCTGAACGACGACCCTTTAGTCGCGATGTGGACCTGAAGCTAAACAAAATTGACAAAAATCAAACCAAGCAAATTGTGGATAAGGCTAAGATACTCAACACAAAGTTTTCAAGCGGTCAAGCAAAGTATCTTTGAGCAATGTATAAATTAATATAAAATTATTTTAATATAAATATATTGAATGGGTCTTTTATCGTTGTGGCGGTGGCTTGGGCTTGGGTATCTTGGAGAGCAGTATTTGGATCTCGTCCTTCTCTTTCCAGTCCTTCCACAGCTCGTAAAGATTGACAATTGCGCGCACTATCTCCTGCACTTTGTCCAGGTCGACGTTCAGCTCGGCGAACCATTGCTTGGTGGAGTCCTTTTGCAATATGACGCATGCGATTTGCAGACAGGCAATGGCAATCTGAAATCCAATAAGGATTAAGTATTCTATCAAATTATGATGATGGGTGCTCATAGTGTTTACCTGATAGGGTGGGTACAGTAGGCAGACATCCGTGCGCAACGAGTCGTTGACTATGCGCCAAGTAAGGGTCAGCAGCTGGTCCTCCTGTCCCATATCTTGGACAAGTTGCAGCAACGGCCGATACGGCTGGAATACAATTAGGCAACAGTCGAGGTTCTCCAGTAAATAAAACTCGCATTCGAGTATGTGATTGGTGCGATACGGAAATTCCTGGGTATACGCATAGCTAAACTTTGACTTGATGGCCGTCTGGCAAATGGAGATGAGGCGAGAATTTGATATGACCCCAAACTCTTCCACTTTGGAAGCCAGCAGGATGCAGGTGGGCGCCAGGAGCAGAGGATCGATATTTTTCAATGAGTTGCGCGCATAGAAGCGTTTGAAATACACGGTTGCCGTGGCAATAACCTGTTGCCGCAGCTTCAACTGCTCCCCGAGCACTTGAATGACATTCGCAAAAAATATAAATATTTTTTGATACTCATCCTCGGTGAGGACCAGCAAATCATTTTGTCGTTCACGTAGCAAATCCTGCTTATCCAGTATCCATTGCTGCGAGTGCGAGCTCTGCCAAAAGTTTCCTGCCATTATGAGCCCGGCAGTTTGTTATCACTTGGCCTTGATTTTTCGGATATATAAAGTATTGTGGATTGCTTAAATTAGTTACAAAAATTGTGAAAAAAAACTTGAACGAACAGAAAACAGTCTAGATTCTAGAAGCCGCAAATTTTGTGTCATTACAGTGTGACCAGATCTGCCAATGTTGAGCAGCTGATTTGATATTTTGTAAATCTATTATTAGTTTCTTCGGCAATATTTGTTAATATATTATAATCTTGACAGATTATAATCAATTGGCTTTGATATTTCGGTTCTAAATAAATTGTAAGTTTTTGAAAACAAAAATAAGCCAAATATTTGAACACAGAAACTGTTGGAGTGTGACCAAAGCTGTAATACATCGACCAGCTGATTTGCACGCAGCCAACTTAACGCCTTAGCATAGTACATATGCGAGTGTGTGAAATTTTCAGCAGGCGCCGCGACAACGGGAACGCAGAAGTTTTAGTTATTTTAAGTGCTTAAAATATTGAACGATTTTAAGAAACGATGGCGTTGCGTGTACTTGGAGTAACGCAGAATATGCGCTCATACATGCGCGGCGTTGACTTGATCAAGGTAAATAATAAGAATACAATTATATTTTTGCTTACACTCCAGTATATTAAATTACGTAATTGTGTGTGTTGTAAGCTATCCACTCGCAATTTACATGTTGCATGAGTGGCAAATAACCCTATTAAAAGACTCAAGTCCCAGCATAAGTATCATCCATCAATGTGCTAGCTAAAAGCTGCGCAAAATAATTACAAAATAGCTTTAGCAGATTTGAGGTTATGTGTCGCCAATTGCCCAACCAATTCAAAACGTAAAATATTTGTTTTGTTTTTTCTTCTATTTCGTAGCGCTACAAATCGGCTCTGACCGTTAAGAAGACGCTGCTGAATATACCCGCCACCCAGGTAACCAGGCTGGACAATGGCCTGCGCGTCGCTAGCGAGGATTCGGGCGCATCCACCGCAACTGTTGGTCTCTGGATCGATGCTGGCTCGCGTTCCGAGAACGACAAGAACAATGGCGTTGCCCACTTCTTGGAGCACATGGCCTTCAAGGTATGGTGGAACAGGAATAATATAGTATATACATATAATATATAATAAATCTTTCATTATACCAGGGTACTGCCAAGCGTTCGCAAACCGACCTGGAGCTCGAGGTTGAGAATATGGGTGCTCACCTGAACGCGTACACATCTCGCGAGCAGACCGTGTTCTACGCCAAGTGTCTGTCAAAGGATGTGCCCAAGGCCGTTGAGATTTTAGCCGACATTATTCAGAACTCCAAGCTGGGTGAGTCGGAGATCGCACGCGAACGTTCGGTCATTCTGCGCGAGATGCAGGAGGTGGAGAGCAATCTGCAGGAGGTGGTCTTCGATCACTTGCACGCTACTGCCTATCAGGGCACTCCTTTGGGCCAGACGATTCTTGGCCCCACCAAGAACATTCAGTAAGTAGAATATGTTTGATGTTTGATATTAAGGTCTAGCTAACTTATGTCATTTGTAGGTCCATTGGCAAAAGCGATCTGACCGACTACATTCAGACCCACTACAAGGCATCGCGCATTGTTTTGGCTGGTGCCGGTGGTGTCAAGCATGACGAACTTGTCAAGTTGGCCGGTCAAAATCTTGGAAGCTTGGAGTCGAGCGTGCTGCCAGCTGAAATAACTCCCTGCCGCTTCACTGGCTCCGAGGTGCGCGTGCGTGACGACTCACTGCCTTTGGCTCATGTAGCTATTGCTGTTGAGGGCTGTGGCTGGACCGATCAGGATAACATCCCATTGATGGTGGCCAACACCTTGGTAGGTGCCTGGGATCGTTCCCAGGGCGGTGGCGCCAACAATGCATCCAACTTGGCCCGTGCCAGTGCCGAAGACAGTTAGTATTCAAATAATCAAAATGTCTTTGGCGCATTGTTTGTACTCCTGCTTTGAATTCTACACGCAGATTTGTGCCACAGCTTCCAGTCGTTCAATACCTGCTACAAGGACACCGGTCTGTGGGGCATCTACTTCGTTTGCGATCCATTGCAGTGCGAGGTATGCATCTAATCTCTGTTAGCGGATTTTTTCATAAAACCAGCTATTTTTCAGGATATGCTTTTCAATGTGCAAACCGAATGGATGCGTCTGTGCACCATGGTCACAGAGGCTGAGGTCGAGCGCGCCAAGAACTTGCTGAAGACGAACATGCTTCTGCAGCTGGATGGCACCACCCCCATTTGCGAGGACATCGGTCGCCAGATTCTGTGCTACAATCGCCGCATCCCATTGCACGAACTGGAGCAACGCATTGATGCCGTCAGCGTGCAGAATGTGCGCGATGTCGGCATGAAGTACATCTATGACAGATGCCCCGCTGTGTCCGCCGTCGGACCCGTCGAGAATTTGCCCGATTACAACAGAATTCGCTCCTCCATGTACTGGTTGAGGGTCTAAGTAGCTACGATGCTCTGGTCTGAAAGATATTGTTGCTAGCCGTGTAGATTAATTCAAGAAAAATTTGATCCAAGAGAATCAGTAAAAACCAAACTAAAATAAAACCAACACACATAACTTAAAATGAGCTGCTGTAAATATTTGTTCGTTGTATTTTATTGATATTCATTGATTATGATACATCCATAGACTATTATCTAATCGTGCGAGTAGTTAATGGGTATTCCACTAAGACCCTTTTGCAGTTTGGCCGGTTCGGTTTGACCCAGCGCCGGGTCCAAGCCTTGCCAAGTGCGATCCTCGAACGTGAGGCCCGAGTCGCTAGTCATCAGTGCCATCTTAGCTTGGGTAGCCACCGTTGTGTTTGAATCGACGGCCTCATCGCTGGCAGTGCCTCCCCTCATGCGGCCACTGACCAGGCTCACGTCCTGTGGCTGTACGGCTTCTGCATCAAAGGCCAAGAAGCTGCGTCCCTTCGGCAGTAGCTGCTTGAAATCTGTGACATAAGCCTCCGGGTATTTCATGTGCCAGGCTGGATTCAACGCCATTTCGGCTTCAAACACCGACACAATGGGCTTATAGTACTCCTTAGAATTATACATATTGTTGAAGGGACAACCGATGAGCACAAAGCAGTCGATCTCCAGAAAGTTTGCCAGCTTGGCAGGATTAATGCGGCCAACGGAAATAAGTTGTGTTTTAATGCCACGACTCTTGGCCATTTGCTGCAAACGTGACACTACATCTAAATAGCCAACAGCGCTCAATGTGGCCACAATCAGGCCTAGAGTCTGTGCATCCTTGCATTTCTCTATGTAGTAATAGCGTCTTCGTATATATTGTGCTGTCAGCGGATTTTTGGCAGTTAACGTGCCGCTGGCACCGTCGAGAATGTGCCACTGGAACGCTGTGGTGGTCAGTGACAAATTAGCAAAGCGCTGATTATCTGCACCGATAAAGATGCAAATACGTTCTGCCGTCGATGCAGTCTCTGTCTCAGCTTTTTCCTTGTTCTCGATGCAGTCTTCAGCTGGTGGTGGATATACCTCGATAAAGAGCTTCTTGGGGCGCAGCACTTCACGCAGCTGGCTATGGAGCGTGTCCTCGCCCTCAGCTACCTGATGCTCATAGATATGCTGATAGCCAATATCTAGATAAACGCAAACCTCTCGCTCAGCGCACTCTGGCTGCAGAGTGGCCAGCTGTTGCAGCACCGTAGACAGCTCCAACGGCAGCACTGGGTACAAATAGAGTACTGGCAAACGACTGGCCTTGCTGCGGCATGCATTGCCAAAATGAATAATGCTATCTGCCTCCACGTGAGCCGCGGCAATTTCGTCCACGCAACAGCTGCCGTACGTGGTGTCAGCCAGAATGAATATTTTGCAGTCCTCTGCTGCTAACGCTGTCTGCAGGCAAGTGTTGATCGTATTGCTGTGGGGCAAATAGTCGTCTGGGAATTGCAGGCAGATCTGAGAGATATGTTAAAATCACGCGACGACATTTTGTTGTTGCATTTACGCACCCGCTTGTAACCATTTTGTCTTATCCAGCCAAGGCTAACTTTTTTGTGCGTTTCGTTCCAGATTTGTTCAAATGTTACTGGCGCTTCCGTTGGTGAATCTGTCTGGCGTTCCAGCGCTGCCGTGTCCTGGCTGGAAAAGGCAGATGCTGTCATTGTTCGATTTTATAATGTGCAAAGATCGCAAAATAAACAATTGAAGTGAAAGGCCGATAGGCGATTCGATATGTTTATACCTATCGAAATTGGTGGTATTTTTTTGCACTGTCTCTCTCTTTCTCACTCCAAAATAATTTGGTCTTTGACATGAAAAAAACGACTTATCGATATGTTTTTGCTTTTTCCATCACCAAGCTTAACTGCTCACCAGGTAACAGAGCAAGCGAAATTTGTCGAAACTAACCCCAGACATATTTTTTGAGGCTCATTAGACGCGCCAACGGATGCGAATACGCGCGCATAACTCAACGTCAAGCAACGGTAAAAAATCATCAACTAGTATACGAAATACGAAATACGCAACGACTTCACAAATCTAAACAAAAATGGATGACTCACGCGAGGAAAGCCAATTTATTGTGGATGATGTGAGCAAAACAATTAAAGAGGCCATCGAGTCAACTATCGGTGGCAACGCATATCAGCACGATAAGGTAAACAACTGGACCGGCCAGGTTGTCGAAAATTGCCTCACCGTGCTCACCAAAGAGCAGAAGCCCTACAAATACATTGTCACAGCCATGATCATGCAGAAGAACGGCGCCGGTCTGCACACGGCCAGTTCCTGCTATTGGAACAACGACACCGACGGCAGCTGCACCGTGCGCTGGGAAAACAAGACCATGTACTGCATTGTCTCTGTCTTCGGGCTGGCCGTCTAGGCGGGCGCTCGTCGATCTAGATCACGAGACACATCATTAACATCTAAGGGGGAGGGACTAACAAGATTGCCTTGCATTTGTTTTGCGTGTAAGTGCATTGATATCTTTGTTTTAAATATAATTTTACTAATAACTATCATATTTTGCAGCTGAAACCAATTCTAATCGGGTTTCTCTATTAACTCTGCAGACATAAACACGATAATTCAGCCGAACTGTTTGTTCAAGCCACATAACAAGGAATCTAACCAATCTATCAAATTACAGCAACGAGCAAAGTATTGTCCAATTCTTAGAATGCAGCACATATACAGCAAAATTCCCAATTATTTAGCAAAATGTAATGTACTTGTATTATTTTATCAAGTTTTGAATAACAAAAACTGCACACAAAGTGTTACTTACGGTTTATTTTTCATTTAAAAAGTAAATTTAATAAAATGTAAAAAATGAAAATAAGTTTGGTTTTGTTTTATTTTAGTTTCTCTCCACTCGGCCTTGAACAACGGCCCGACAGTTGTTTAATCGATGCAATAGCTGCAATCAATACAGGGTGATTTTTCTGCTTCATTTAAAAAGTAAATTTGATAAAATGTAAAAATAAAATTTATTTTATTTTAGTTTCTCTCCACTTAGCCTTGACAGTTTCATAATCGATGCAATTACTGCAATCAATACAGGGTGTTGTTTTTTGTTACCTAAAAACTTTTATTTTTTGCGCTGGAAGCGCCTCGAAGCCGTCAGCGCTGGCACCGTGCTGGGCAGTCGCAGTGACAGCATGTCCGAGCGCGCCTTGGGCCGAGCATTGACTATGTGGGCGTAAGTAATGATGCGTTCCTTGGATGTGCGCAGAATGCGAGAAAGCGTATTGACATCCACTTCATGCTTATCACTGATGAGTAGCGCCAGCACAATGAAATGTGTGAGTGCCTTCTCTGTGCTGAAGGTGGTGCGTGTGCAGGACTTGGCCACATTGGGATCCGCGAATCGATGCCGTATGTCATTTTCCACTTTCTCCGAAATCTTCGATAATTCCACGGTTTTCATTTGCCGCTTGCGCAGCGCAATGAGCGACTGCAGCGCGTCCATGTAGATTATCAATTTAATGTGCAGAAAATCCTGTTTTGTGGTGATTTCTTTGTTCTGGATACGCATGATGCACTCACGCAGATAGTCCGACTCAATGCTGCAAAGGATACGGTTTTAGCTGGGGCGAGAATATATTCATCAATAGAGGATACTTACGGCAGTGACTCCAATGGCGTTGAGTATACACTTTTTGCCTCCTCGTCCAGGCGATCGAGCAGTGTTTGTGGCACCACGTCCTCCACATCATAGATCTCATTTATTTTTGTCGCCGCCTTATCGAACTTCGGCACAATGGAAGCCAGATATTCGGCATTATTTATATCCACCTCGGGTAGGGTATTGTCTTCCTCATCTTCGCCTCCCTTTGCAACAGAGCTCTGGACGGTTTCATCCAGATCCTTGCGCATCACATCTACATTGACCATCATCTGCTCGTGATTAGCCACAAACCGGGAGGCCCTACGACCGCCGAACTCTTTGAGTAGCTTCTTTGTGGCATGCTCTTTACTCAGCATCGGCCGGTTCTCCTGTCTCTCCATCTTCTCGTAAATGTGGTTCGAGAGCAGCGATTGCTGGACGGGCACAATTGTTGCCGTGTTTGTTGATTTATTACGCACACAGATATACGTATCGAATTCTTTGTTATCCTGCAAATCGCCCACATAGGTATTTACACCGGCCATGACCAAGGCACGTTTGCGGGGATTACGTTTGTTTTTGCTTTCAATCAGTGAAAAATTCGAGCCGCCGCTAAGCGTGCCGTTCTGAAAATTTACTGCAAGCAAAGGGAATTTTGTACGACATTTTACTTCAGTTGCAACATACGACTTACGCATTATGGGTGAATATGCATCTTGCTTATGTGTATAAACATTTTCAATCAATGTTTTCTCATCCATTTTTATTTAATTAAAGTAATATTTAAAAACTTAAATACAAGTTAAATGTTATATGTGCCGTTGCACGTGTAGGAATTACAAATAGCCGAGCAGCTGATGATGTAGTGCTGCCAGATGTTTGCTGTTACCAGAGTTGCCACGGGCAAAGTAGCCCGCGCATTTTCAAATGGAATCTCTGATACGCACGCCAAAACTGCATTAATAGTGAGGCCAATCATAATATTTTAAGGACTCCGAACATTTGCGTTTATGTTAAAGCCCGCGAAGTTGTAGTGCTTGCTTTTAACTATTTTTACCACTTGCTGCAATGTACAAATATGAATTTTATTAGCTATGCAAGACATTATTTAGATTTTATCAACTCACCAGCACTAATTTGATTAAAAATACTGCAAACGTTAAAAAATTAATACTCATTAGCGCTGCTTCCGGTGGAAATTCTAAATTGGATTCATCCAACAGGCCGCGTCGTCTGCGCCTGTGCCGCTCCGTTGGTTGCCACAGCACCGAGAACTGTTGCTCTGTGGAAAGTAAAATTCACTTAAAGCGTCTAAAACTTTTTATTATTTCAACTACGCACCAATAACTTTCATAAAATTATCTCGCAGCTGCTTCAGTAATTTAATTTTATTTTCTATGTTGAGCGCAGACTTCTTAATCCAGCCGATTTGCATCTTTTTGAGGAATTTCAGAAAACCCTGCATAGTGGGCAGAAGTAGGTCCTCATCATCCTCGCTGTCCGACTGCTCGGTGGCTGTCTCCTCAACCTCATCGACGTCCTCGGCGCTCTCCACATGCGACGAGTGCCGACGCGATGTTGTCTCCACTTTAGGGGTAACGACCACATTTACCTCCACTGGCGGACTACTGGAACTGTTTTTCACAACCAGCTTGGTCCGGGCATGAATCACCTGACTGTTGTTGGGTACCACGATCTGTGAGCTGTGCTTCAGTCCGTCCGCATCGCTAACCACCAAAGGATTGCTCTGACCGTTGCGCAAGCCAAAACGTTCCCGCTGATATTCCAGCCAGACGGCGCTGGGCGTGCTGAAGCCTTCGCCGTTGGCATTTCGCTCAACTGCCTCCTGCTTGCTATTGCTATTGGAGCTGGCAAGTGGTCGTGTCTGAGAGTGTGCAATCTCAACCCACTCTGTGATGCTGAAGTGGCTCACTGCCAGCAGCAACCACAGCCTGGCCACAAAGTGTTTCATCTTGTTTCTCCAATTGTTGTGCAGCGACTACTGCAGCTGAGTCTTGCAACTGGGCTAGAAATCTCCGAGATGTATCCAAAAAGGGTGTCAACCGTTGCATGCCACTGAAGCATATTTGAAAAGAAGTAAGAGTGTTTTGGATGGAAGAGCACGACTAAAAAATACCCTGAGCAAAAATTTCATACTTGACAAAGGTAATATATGTATATAATAGAAATATATTATTAGAGTCATACAGAATATATATACCAACTCACAAGCAAAGAGACAAAAAGGCCAGATAGGACAGAGGTTGCTCTATATGCTAATGGAAACTTAATGATGTAGTCCAAGTCAATATACCCATTCCATTCTATAGGGTATTTAAACACACATTCATTTTCAAGCATTACTTGTCTGATTTTTATTATTATTTATCTATATCGGTTTCTATCTTTTTAGGTCTTTATTTTTGTAATTACATATTAATTGGTTCTAAAATACGAGCACAGCTGAGCGTTTGCATACATAAATGTTGGATTGGTCTATATGGTCAGATGTATATATATACGAAAATAATGACAAACAATTTTTGATCTTAACACGAAGATGAAAGTGGATAAAAATATTCGAAAATATTAAAAATTTAATTTACTTAAATTGATAAATTGATATTTACTTTTCTCTTCTTTTCTTCTGTTAAGTTCAAAAATTGTTCAGATCATGCTCGTATATAGTATTAGAGTAAGTACCGTTATCCGTCAGTTAAATATGTATGTATGTATGTATGTATAAGTATACTAGTTTTGATTCTTAGGAAAAATTTAGCACAGAGATTTCAGTTACAAACGGTAGCTGGAAAAGCGTGAGAAATATTAATTGTGAATGAATTTTGTATTAATATTTGTTTGTATTTATGCGTTTGTTTTCTTCTTCTTTTGCTTCTGTTTCTTTTTAAGATCAAGCGTAAGAAAATTTGTGCGAAATTCATGAAGAGACCATATCGAAAATTTTGATAAACGCCAAGATTTAAAAAATGTCTTGTTTTTCTTTTCTTTTCCTTTCTTTTCTTTTGTTTTTTTTCGTCTTTGAACAAGGTGCTAATTAAAATGTTTTCACGTTAATTTACAGTCTGACAAATATTTGTGTGTACTATAAATGTATATATTTAAAAAACAATTAAATGTATGTAGAAAAAGCTAGTGTGTGGCGCAGGCAGAGGCGCAGGCAGAGGCCGAGGCGGCGATGGCGAAGTAGGCGGAGACGGAGGCTATTTAATGTGCTTGCACAGATGAAAGCGCATCCACTTTAGCGCCTTGTCGCCAATGGCCTCCACCTTGGGCGAGCTGGACAGGCGATGGCAGCCGGCACAGTTCGAGGGCACGCTCTGGCTGCCCATGAGCTCCGCATGGGTTGCTGCTGTTGCAGTTGTTGTTGTTGTTGTTGTTGCTGCTGCTGTTGTGGCAGGTCAAATGTCGCCAGCGCTGTCCCAGCGCACGTCGTCGGCCTCGTGTGTGAGATAGCGCCCCAGACCCACCTGCGTCTCCAAGTTGCGCAAGTCTCTGTAGGTCTGCTTGTCCTGCAGCCAGTAGTGCATCAGGCTCTTGTCGCAGGTGTAGCGTTTGCGCTGCTTCACTTGCAGCAGATTGTTGATGAGGTCAATGGCTAAAATGGAAAATAACAAAAATGAATATAAAAATCTTTCTCTCTTTATCTCTCTCTGTCTGTATCTCATACCATTCGAAGAGATCTCCTTCCAGGGATTTGGTGGGTACATGAAGGCAGCATTCTGTATCTGATCATTGATGTCCTCCTCCTCGTTGAAGGGAAAGGTGCCGCTCAAGCTCACGTAGATGATCACGCCCACGCTCCACATGTCCAGGGAGCGATTGTAGCCCTTGTTGCGTAACACCTCGGGCGCCAGGTAGGCGGGCGTGCCCACCACCGAGCGTCGGAACGACTTCTCGCCAATGATGCGCGCATAGCCAAAGTCACAGAGCTTCACCTGCGGGAACTCGGCATCCGACGAGAGCAGGACATTCTCCGGCTTCAGGTCGCAGTGGACAATGTTCTGCGAGTGCAGATATTTCAGGGCGATCAGGATTTGTGTGATCAGAAATTTGGTCACACGCTCGCTGAGGCGTCCGCGCTCATGGGAGAGTATCATCTCGAGCATGTCGCCCTTGAGCTTCTCCATCACCACGAAGATGCGCTCCGGCGTCTCGAACATGCGCTCCAGGTTGACAACGCCACAGTGGGTTATGTTCTGCAGTATGGCCACCTCGTTCTTCAGCTGTGCCTCCTGCTTGGTGGGGAAGCGCAGCTTGTCAATCACCTTGATGGCCACCTCGCGCTTGGTCTTCTTGTGCACGCCGCCATAGACGACGCCGAACTGCCCGGAGCCGAGCACCTCATCCGGAAAGATCTGATAGAGCTGGCCCATGTCCTGCACCTGCTCCTCCGATTCGCAGCATTCTGTGAGAGAAACGGGGCTTAGCAAAGATCTAGCTACATTTATGGATCTGGGAATCTTACGCGTGTTGGTCACATGCATGAAGGCCTGCCGTATGCTCGTCTCCCAGCTCTTGGCTATGTCCGTGCCGATGCCACTGTCCGGCGGCGGCAGACGCACCGCCTGCTGCTCGCCCACGCCCTGCTGCGGATCCTGGCCCACATAGTAGCTCAGATTGGCCGTGCACAGCTCGAAGCAGTAGTTGGCATTGGGCTTCGTTTCGATCGATATCAGCTCGGACAGCGGCAGCTCCTTGTGGTACTTGCTGCCCTGCTCCGAGACGAAGAGCGTTATGGTTTTCGAGTCCAGGCGCCAGTAGTAGCGCTTCAGCGCCTTGTCCAGCGAGGTGTAGTGCACCAGCCAGCCCTCCTTGATGGCCTGGCCGCCGCGCTTCTTTGTGTGCTTCACGGACTGCACGATGCGCATCAGGGGAATGTTGGCACTGGGCGAGGAGGACGACGAGGATTGCGACTGCTCCGATTGGCCGTCCGTCGATTTGGCATCGGGTCCCGTGCTGCTGCTGTTGTCCGTCATGGCGCCGTTGACTAGCTCCGGTGGTGAGTTCTGTGCATTGGTCAGCGCCTTGGGCGCCTCCCTTGGTCGTCCGGCCACCAGATTCGTCCCGCCGCCGCTGCCGCCGCCGCCGCTGCCACTGGTGCCCATGGCCTTATTGTTGTATATGGCAAACTCGGATTGGGGTCCGTCCTCGAAGTCGCTGTCATCGAACTCCTCGCGGAAGAAGTTGTCGCGCTCCTTGCGCGGCGTCCCCTCCCCGATCTCAGCCTGCAACTGGCTCATCTGCGCCTCGCCCGTGCAATCCTGCGGCACCTTATCCATGCACTTCTTGTGAGTATTGTACTGGCAGTCGCGGCACTGCAAGCCCTGCTTGAACAGGCCCTTCAGCAGCTTCTTGCAGTGCTGGCACACAGTGGGGATTCCATAGGTGTGGACCATAAAGGTGTGCGGTATGCGGAGCACCAGCTGTCCGTTCCGGCTGCTCGCGGAGTGGGTGCGCTGATGCCGGCTCGTATATCCTGGCACGTTCTAGAGGCGAAATACGAAATCGTTAGAAAATGCCATTTGGTAAGAGCATGATCGACTTTGAAATACCCTGCTCGCCTAGCCGATTCCCTTGCAACTTTACGCTGGTGCACATTTCTATTAATTTTGACTAATAGACAATTTAGAAATTAAAATTTAAAATTAAGCTGAACTACCTAAGCATTGCATAAAAACAAAATATATTAATTTATAAACGTTCAAAGGGGGCATCTGAGTTGCCTAGTTTCATATGTCAGGATTTTAATTTCAACTTATTTCTTTTACCAACTCTGCACTCCACTCGACCCTCAACTTTATAATAAATTTTGTCAACCTCACCCATTTTCAACTCTCCGTGAGTTATTTCTGCAATAATGCCTTTTGCCTTATAAATTAGGCAGTCTACACAACTCTCCACTTTTCTTTTGTTTATCGATACTAGGCTTTTCATTGCTAGAAATTTCGTATACTACGGTGTAGTCAGGTGTATTTTGGCTTTAAGTCTCCACTTTACACATATCCCTAAATTTGTTGTTCCCATTTTTTATTAAGTCAAGTTCAAGTCTATTCTAATTTTAAGTCTCCACTATTAGGCATTAGGTCTCCACTCTATACGACTTACGCTGTTTCTATTAAAGTCAACTCTTTTATTGTACGAACAGAATTCAATTCCAATTTAAGCTCTCCATTTTATAAAACTCCTAATTACGGTGTAGCCTTTAAACGAGTCCTTAAGTTTTCTACTTAATAGTAGTGTATCATATAACTCTCGTGCTTTTCGTTGTCCACTCTACACAACTCTCTAGCTCTTCAACTCCCCACTCTAAAAACGTAATACCCACTCTATAATATACTCCCTACGAGTATTTAACAGAATTTCAAATGAAAGCCAACTAAAGCAGTTTTAATCAAAATTAAATAAAGTTTATTCAAAAAATAATACGAGTATATGTGTATGTAAAAGTAAAAAGCAAAGAGAATTCATGTAAATAATATCTGGAATACTCGTAGGGAGGGAGCCCCGTTACCGCTTAACCCCAACGCACTTAAACCGCACTTAAGCCCATCTGCCACTGCGTTACCCATATTTAATTCTTAATTATGTCATTCATAAGCTCCGACATGCGTTTTACCAATGAGCTGCTGGAGTCGTGGCGACCCGTCGACTCCTCGTTGGAGACGAGCGACTGCTGTGAGCTGCCAGAGGGGCTGCGGGGCGGCTGCAGTGTGACCGAACGTCTCGAGGTGGCATCACTGGAGCGGCTACAATTGTTCGGGATTTTCACCACACAACGCTTGTGATAGTTCTGACCACAGCCTGTGGTGAATGATACATGCATACATACATATACATATACATATAGATATATGTATATGCATGTCGCAAATTGAGTTAGTTTTTATGACTGAGCAGACGAGAATCTGTGTGTGTGTGTGTGTGTGTGTGCGTACATACCATCGCATTTGAGTCCTTGACGCACCAGTCCAAACAGCATTTCACCGCAGAAATCACAGAATGTGGGCGCCTTATAGGAATGAACGCTCAGGCTGTGCGGCTTCAATGTTGGCATTTCCGATGTCGGATATAGTATGGCTGTTGGTGAGCAAGGGCAGAGGGTGAGTGGGTGACAGAGTCAGAGTGAATGGATATGGCTGATGACATTTGTTAAATAGTGTGTGTGTGTGTGTGTGTGTGTGCTCATCGAACATTGATTGAAGGCGACAACACAGCAACTACTTACGACTCGCTGTTAATACAATTTCCACCAATGTCTCGTCCACAACTTCCGTTGCGGAATTGATAATGTGCAGCACATTGGGCGTGCTATAGTCGTGTATGAAGAGCAGAATGCGCTCTGACAGATATGTGAGTCCACTATCTGGTATCTGTGAATAGACAAAGGAGAAGTGAGAGTGAGTGAGAGACAGAGAGAGAGAGGAGATGCATGTCAATTTTTGATGTTTTGCTTAATTTAACGCTCATTTTGCATATGGCACTTATCATATGTGTATACATACATATATCGGTTATCATATCATATATTAATTGATTGTGCGATAAGACTACTCTAACGTCCACACACACACTACCACACATACGCTATTGAGTGGGATATCTATATCAATTGATATATGTCTATACAAATACAGTTAGTTGTGCATAATCAATTCAGTTTGAAAATATGCTATGCTTGAGATACCCTGTTAAGAATACAATTTGTATATAATTTGACCTATTTGCTTATTAGTTTTAATGGGGGTATTTTCAAGGGTTCTTACCCACATAATCGGTTCATTATTTATTCTATATTTGTGACATATTTCTTTAAAAAACTATAAGCAAAGTTTTACAGAATTAGTATTTTGAATTAGTATTTTCCCATCGGAAATTTCCATGATTATAAAGATATCAGATTTTTATTATTATCCCTAGGAAAATCGTTTGATTCGCCTTACAGTCAACTTATGTTTCCATATATTCAGTGTTACATTAACAGAATTAGAATTTCTATGCAGTAAGTCACATGTGAGAGAATATTTATTCTCGACCA